CCGCCCCCCCACCACCGCAACCCCCCGCCCCAATACAACCACGAAAAAGAAAACAACCAACCCAATGGGAGATAGTGGTGTTGTAGTTGAACGCTAACTAGAGAGTTCTGTGTGTTGTATGTGGATTGGGAGATGTTATAGTTGAGGGAGTGGTGTGAGTACAGCTGGAAGCATGATGATAGTGTGGTATGTTTGTTGTGTTTACACGCGATGAGCGGCTCTATATATCTTTTTGTGTCGGTGGTTTTGTAGTGTAGTTTTTCTGTCTTGTTTGTGTTTGTGTGTGTGTGTGTGTGTTTTTTGGTGTGTGTGTGTGTGTGTCTGTGTGTGTGTTTGTGTGTGTGTTTGTGTGTGTGTGTGTGTGTGTGTGTGTCTGTGTGTGTGTCTGTGTGTGTCTGAAGGAGAGGACTCGCAGCAGCACTCTCCTTCTTCCCTGCACGCTGAAATACGCTGCTGCTGCCGCTGCGCCTCCTCCTTCTGCTGCTAGCCGAACGATCGACGTTGCGGCTGCTGCTGCTGCTGAGTGGTCGACCCAACGGCCAGGTACAAGAGCCAGTCTACGATCCACAGCTGCATTCGCAGCAGCGAGACGGTACAAAGCATCTCCAGTCGGAGCAGAAATCGCCGAAATGAACCCACAAGACCTTGGGGGGCCCAGGGGGCCTCTGCAAGGGCACTGCCTGAGAGTCTCTCCAGCACAGCAGTCTCTGTGGAGGCTGCAGCATCGGTTGACAGCCCTTTATCAGTGATTCGCGCAATCTCAGAGGAGGTCTTAGGCGCGCTCCTGGAGGGGGAAGCAGCAGCATGTGTTCTGCTGTCGCCCCTCGCTGCCCTTGTTTTGCAGGTTCTGCAGTGCAGGCAGCTGTTTTGCAGCGGCTTTTCTTGGTGCCTGCGGTTCCCAGAAAGCGAGCTGAGCAACAGCGGGGACTGGAAGGAGCTGCAAGCGGCGCGATGCTGTGCATTTCGCAGCAGCAAAAGCTGCTGATGCTGCAGCAGGCCAGGGGCTTCCCCATTCTCCCCTCTGTATGCGAGGAGCGGATCTGCCTGCTCAGCGCCATTCGCAAGGATCATCTGTGTGTATAAATCTTCTAAGGGGTCAGACGGCTGCTGCGAGTGTTGCGCTGGCGTCTGGCCACCTGGGAAGATTGCAGAGGCTGGCAAGGGAGTAGACGGCAGTGCTGCTGCTGCTGCTGACGCTTCTGCTGCTGCTTCTGATGCTGCTGCAGGTGCTGCGGTTGCAGGTGATGCTGCACAAACAGCAGCGCAGTCTCCCGCTTCTTCACCCCGTGCGGCCTTCTCTAATCTCGAGAAGAACCACGCCGCGTATGCGGGATACTCAGAAGCGACTGGAAGATTCAAGGATTCTGCTCCCGGCAATTCGAACCATCGGGGAGCCGCACCCTTGCGGTCGGCTGCTGAGGCGCAGAGCTCGCTGTCTCCAGTGCCGTTGCTGCCGCGTAGACTTGCAGCAGCCGCCGATGCAGCGAACCGCCTGCACTCCACGAGCTTCGGACGAAGGCGCTTGTCGCGCAGCTGCATTCCTCGGCAGGCTGCCTCCCCCATAGCCACAAGGCGTTCCTTCGTTGTGCCCCCCAGATCGCAGTTGATGCTCCGTATGAGGTAGCTCATGCGCAGCACCCACAAGAGGTCGCGAGGCAGCAGCTGCAGGAACCCGTTGATGCTCTCCAGAGGGGCCCCCCGAAGGGCCCCCATGATTTTCGCCCGGTCCCCCGCATGCAGGGGGGCCCCCAGCTGGGTACGGAGGCCCACCTGGGGGCGGTACGTCAAGACAACGGACAGCAGATCTAGCGCCGTGTCTTCATCGAGGAGAAGGGGCCCCTCTTCCTTCCAATTCGAACTGCTGCTCTCACTGCTGTTCTTTTCATGGGAGGAAAGGGGTGGTGGACTGCTGCCGCCGCGCAGTGCCTTCCAGGGGCACTGCGAGTCTTTCGAAGAAGTCGCTGCGGACGGCTCTGCCGTTGCAGCTGCTCTGTGTGTCGCGTAGTGCATCAGCCGCGACTGCTCCTGAGATCGCTCGAGCTGCTTGTCGATGCCTAAGTCTCTGAGCGCCCTGCGCCCTTCTGCAACATCGTTGAGAAGCAGCGCGAGCCACAAGCGGGAGAAGGCCACGCGGAAATCTGGAGATAGACGTCGATACATCCCATGATCCAGTATCACGAGTTGCAGAGGATTCTTGCTGCTGCTGCTGCTGCTGACGCAGTCCTCGCATGCGGAGGAGGGGGGCAGCAGCTCGCTGCCTCCCTCTTGCGCGGTGCTCTCTCCTTCCTGCGGTCGTCCTTGGGGCTTACTGTGGGGAGAAGAAGGGGGCCCCTTTTTTTTCTCCTCCTCCTCGTTCGGAGGAGTCTTCAGTGGCCAGGCGCGTCTGTGCTGCTCTGAGGGCTGCTGCTGCTGCTGCTGCTGCTGCTGCATTCTTCTGATGAGGAGGTTGCCTGGGTGTGGATCGCAGTGGACAAATCCGTGGAGGTGCAGCATATCGCCGAAGACGCGCATGAGGAGCTGCGCAATTTCGGGAGAACGAGGGAAAATGCCTTCTCTGCGCAAAGCCTCCTCGTCGGTGAGTTTAGCCCCCCTCACGAATTCCATGGTCAAGACCTTCTCAGTTGTAAGACTCCAGTCAACCCACGGCACATACACTTGGGGATTCGCGGCGAAAAGCCGACGGAGGCGAGCTGCGTTGTATCCCTCCTGTCTGAAATTCATTTCTTGCCGCATGTTCGCCTCGAACTCGGGGAGCAACCACCCAAAACGGCAGCGGGGAAACACAAAGGAGATAAAGCCCATCAGGTACCGCAACCCCACCAAGTCCGACACGAAATTCTCGTGAAGGTGAGGCCGTTGCAGCTTGACTGCCACTTCGGCTCCGTCGCTGCGACGCCTCGCATAGTGAACCTGCGCAAGAGAAGCTGCAGCAACGGCTTCCTCGCGAATTTCGACGAAAAACAAAGACACTGAACCCCCCAACTCGCGCTCCAGCAAGGCTTTCGCCTCTGACCACGGCACTCGAGCAGCGTTGTCTTGCAGCTGCGAGAGAATGGTGACATACGGGGGGGGGAGAACGTGCTGCAGCGTTCCGACGTACTGCCCCAACTTGACGTACAGACCGCCATGCCGAATGCAGAGACGCAGCAGACGCCGAGCTCCTCGTTCGTGCAACTGCTGCTCTACCCACCGTTTCTTCTCCCTCAAGGCATCCACCTGAGCATCGAGCCTCTCCACCTCTGCCTGCAAGCGCTGCACGAGATCCTGACACTTGACACGGCCGCTATCACTCGCTGCAGAAGCCGCTGCAGAAGCCGCTGCAGAAGCCGCTGCTGACAAGTGACGTTCCCTCCAATCCATTGCAGCGAGACGCAAAAAACTCAACTTGTAGTCCACGGAGGAAAGACAGATGGAAGCGAAGCTCCGGAGAAAACGAATCCAACCAGTGAGCCCCCACGCGGGGAGCAGCACTTCACTGCTGCTGCTTGTGCTGCTGCTGCTGCTGCTGCTGCTGCTGCTGCTGACGCTCAAGCGGGGAGGCCGTGGCAGCACAGTCCAAACTTCTCCTACAAGGCGCTGCAGCCTCCCAAGCCCCAAAAAACCTCCAGCACTCGCCAAAGGCGCGTCCGCATGCATGCCATGGTCTTGCGCAGACGGCTCGTGCGTCTGTTGCTGTTGCTGCTGCTCGAAGTGCAGCAGAGGTGCTACAGCCACCGGAGCTGCAGCCACCAAAAACAAACTTTGTAGCTTCCAGCGGCTCCTCGTGTGTCTGCTGTTGCTGTTTCCAGCATTGCCGCTGCCTGTGGCGCTGTCAGCGGCAGGATCTGCGAGGCGCTGGTCAGAAGGCTTGCGACGGAAATCCCCTGAAGCTTGCGCGTCAGAAGAAACGCCTCGCAGCGATCCACAATACACTGCATTCGCCGCAGCAGCGGGAGCAGCGGCTGGACAGACGCAGAAGGCTTTTCTTCTTCCCGCTGCTGCCGCTGCGAAGGGCGGAGGCTTCGAGCAACCTGCTGCTGGGCAGACCCCAATGGAAGCTCCCCACTCGGAAGGAAGAGGATTAGAACGCCAGCTTTCCGCGTAAATCTTGTCCGCAGGTCCTAGGGAACTCTCCCTTACCGCCCTTACGGTGACTCGAGGCTTCGTGTGAGAGCTCCCCCCCGCGACTGCTTCTAGAGACAGCAAGCCGCGGCTGTTGGGGTGGTGCTGCAGCCGCAGTGCAACGAGCCATGGAGCCCCCCAAGAGCCGTCTCTAAGCCTTCGGAACTTCTGCATGGCCTTAAATTGCAGGCTTGACTGCGGAGTGCGAGGTTCGAGGGGGAGGGGGGCCTCCCCGAGAGTATTCCCCGAGAGTATTCTTCACAGAGGCGGCAGTCTCAAAGGGAAGGTTGGCAGCGTTCGGGGTCTCCTACTGGGAGCGGCATCTCATGGAAGCTCCGCGGCAGGGAGAAGAAGAAGCAAGCCACCCCCGAGAAGCACAGTTTCCGCACATGCCTGCAGCGACCGAGTCTCCTCAGAATTAGAGGAAGTGCCTAGTCTGCACTAGCCGGGAGTACACAGCCAAGGCAGGACTGCAGGAAGCCAAGGGGCTTCGCTCGGTTGAGGGCCGCACGCACTTGCAACTGTCGTGCTTCGATTGCTTTCGACAGAAATAAGGGAACTGAGTGGGCAGAGAAGGGGTGTAGACGGCGGAACGCCGCTCCTTGACGGGCTAAGGCCAGAGGACTCAGCCTCGGAAGTAGACGACAGCAGAAACAACCGACGTGACAAGTGATGCAGAAGCCGGCCAGGTGGACAGGACTGTAGTTATCTGGCACTTTGTAACGGCGCAGAGGACTCCTAGATGCAGTGAATGCTGCGCAAAGTCGCAGCTGCCACCCGTAGCTTGTCAACTTTCCCGCGGGGTGTACAGGTGTGCGTCTGTGCATATGTGCCCATACCAAAAGGTGCAATAAGGACGCAAATGAAAGAATGCTGCGAACTGTGTTTCTGATCGAGCACGGGGACTAGGTAGAAAGAGGCAACAGAACCCATGGGTCAAGAGAAGACCAAGACAACGCAGCATCAAGTCGGCAGCCCTGCAGCTCGAAGGCAGTCAGTTGCCAGTTTTCAGCTGCTATTGCATTGAATCTTTGAAAAACAGTGGTCTGCATAGTAACAAACAAATGAAGAGTGGGCAGTGGAGAAAGATCGCTAGATATTTCGTCTGCGTGCGTCATCGCGTTGCAGGCGACAGGAAGTTCAAGTCCCTCTACTCCACCAGTGAGGGCGCACTTTCCCTAGCTTCGAATGAAGTAGGCAAATGCGACAATATGTACTCGGCGCGATGAACAGGAAAGGATAGACAAAGGCCTACCAACAGGCGATACTAATAAGTTCCGCTGCCGGGACTCGAACCCGGGTCGCGCGGGTGAGAGCCGCGTATCCTAACCACCTAGACTACAACGGATTGCAGGGAAGTGAAGAAATCAATGCCACATCTAAATCTAAGCACACACGAATCCCCACATCATCGCAACCGACACACTGTCTACGTGGAACATGGTCTCCACAAGGCGCCTTCTAGGAGGTACACACACGCACACCTCCCCTCTCCTGCATTCGCTTATTGCCTCAAAAGCCCTTGCCTCGCTTTGCCCCCTGCACCAACCACCCCTCCCACCCAATTACTTCTACCATTCAGAACACACCTTCGAGCCACGCACCACATCATCGAGAGCTGTAACGCTCAGCAGCCCCTATCACCGTATCGACCCCGAATTCGTGAAGCGTCCTCCCGAGCTTCAAAGGCCCCCAAGTGTCGTTATAGGGACGCGCACTCTATTCAGCGCTATGCAAATGAAACAGGAAGCCCAGTGCAATCTGGTCGGTGACGATGTATATATATATATATATATATATATATATATATATATATATATATATATATATATATAATCGCACGCCCTATAACCTAAATCCGAGACGTACAACCCTGTAGAACCTAAAATACCACAGAACTATACCAAAACTCCCCCAAACTCTAAAGCTTCACATAAAAACTGATAAAGTCAGATCACGCGCGGTTGGCGTTCCGTGCACAGTTATTCCATGCACCAGAAACGACCAATCCATACGCTGCCTCGGGTGCACGTACACCTGGGTTCTACCGCCAGCGCGGCAACAACAACCCTCTACTCAATGAAAAAAATACAGAAGCAGCACCGTTGCGCCACGTGTCTCGCACGAGCGAAAAAGTGCGAATGACGTCACCCTACGGGCCCACACAACACGGCAAAGCAGCACGCCTGCTCCCTATTTTTCACTTCCGTACGCTAAAGGAGTGGCGAAAGCAGGCGGCACACACAGCAGCACAGGTGGGGTGGCAAGCAAAGGGGCCCGACCCCCTAAACGCTCGAAAAGGCGACTGCCTGCAAAAACCACCCGATGCTCGACTGTCCTTGCACGCCTGCACCTCCAAGTTATTTGCTAGCTGCACGGTTATATTTCTATCGGAGGATTCGCCTCAGCAGCTACAATGGTGCCTGCTGCTGCAGCGGCTTCTACAGGAGGCAGCCTTGATCGGCATACAACCTGAGGCGGGGGAGAGGCCGCCTTGTCTGTGGCTGCAGTGCTGCTCGTTGTTGTATCTAACTTAGCCGAAGAGGTGCGCGTGCTGTGATCATCCCCACAAGGGGACGGATCCTCCCCCCGGCCTGCAGCCGCCAATGATAGCTTTAGAATTGCCTGCCTCTTCACTGAGCTAAGTGTAATGAAGAATATTCGGGGACGACACGCATGAACATCTGGATATAGAGCTAAAGATCCCGAAGGGCCTAAGGCATCGGAGGCTCTAGACGGCGAGCACGCACTCCGGGTGTCTCCTGCAGAGCAAGAGTAGAGGCACAGCGCAACCAGCTACAGTTCAACTCAGCCGTCTTGACCCCTCCCCCCAACAGCAGCAACCCCTTGCCCTCTAGCTGAAACATGGTCTAACCAGGAACACCCATAATCTCCCGCGAAATCCGAAAGACGCAGAAACACACCCACATCAACACAAAAATACACACACACTCATGCCAAAAGCAAGAGAATGAGGAAAAGGAAGGACAGTAAGGAACACACACACACAGACACACAAACACAAACACAAACACACACACACACAAAAACACACACGCACACATACACACACAGAGGAAACGGACGGCATATGATATTTAAATATGTTGGCTTACGGTGGAAGTCTCGAGCCCTCTTGGCTGAGCAACCCGACCGCCCCCTGTTGCTGCTGCTGCCACAGGTCCTAGCTGTGTTTGCCTCGCTCGTGACTGACGCGGCGCAGCAGAAAGATGAAGGAGACTGCGACACAACAGAGCCTTCAAGGAAGGACTCTCGAGGAGAGGGGCCCCCACAGGTCTTCGCCCCTAAGAACCTCTTAGCTGCACTGGGAGGCCCCCAAGGAGACGCGGCGGCGCGCACCAGCCCCGGGGATAACCCTGGAGATGTAGATACAGTGCTCGCGTTCTGTGGGGCAGCCGCAGCTCTCTGCAGAAGCAACAGCACAGGCACAAACACGACAGACGAAGCCATAGAGCAACACAAGTCGGTGTCGGCAGAGACTAACACGCACGCAAAAATGCAGAGAGCGGTGCCAGCCACGTCCAAATATTCTCCCCGGCACGCATATATACAGCACATGCAGCCACTCGGCTTCGCGTGAAGGCACACCTCCTTCGTCTTAATCCGCTGCAGCCGTCTGCGGGGCCGCTGTTGCTCTTTCCGTTGGGAGCGCGATAGAGAACAGCAAGTCTGCCTGTTTCCTCTTGCCAAGGCCTACAGATTTACCACAGCACGCACTGCGCAGCAAAACAGCTCTACCCCACCCGCACATCTCCCAGCCCGCGAGTTGATTACGCCGTTCATTTGCCGTGTTTCCCCCTTCTTATTACCTGCCTCCACGCCCATTCTACATGTCCCTCCACTGCTCCCTTTCAGAACAGCCTCCCAAGGCACCACTCTGGCGAGCCCCCCAAGGGGCCTCACTCCGGGAAGGCCTCTTAGGCGCTCAGTGCAAGGTCACCCTACTGGTAGGCAAATGTTCTCGTGACGAAAGGCCTTCCAGGGGATAATAGGGACTCTGGAGAGGCGACGGATAAGTTTAACAGAGACGTTGAAGAAGTCGCAAACGCTACGCGGGGCGGTGCGGCGCGACGAGCGGCGGGCGAGTGCTTGCAGCCGGCGGGACCGAGGCTGCAGCAACACGTGCAGCAAAGAGAAGTGGGATGGTAGTGAAAGGAAGGATAGAGCAGTGGAGTGCGGGAAGAAGGATGGAAAGTGACGACCTTGGCTTGCAACAATCGTGCGCCCCAACACATGTCATAAACGCAACGTCAGTGCACATCGAGGTGATAACAGACAACCCGGGAGACAGACGAAGGCGGATTGCATTGAAGAAGGAGAGAGGAAGAGCGCGAATGAATGAGCCCCAACGCCCTTGTGCATGCAGCTGGAGGCAGGGTGAGGGGCCCCCAAGGAAAGTGGGTAAAGGTCTACGGTCACCCTTTAAGACGAGGCATCAAGGGGACCCTACCGCTCCATGAGGTTCCCCCTGACAGCCAGTTGGGGGAGGAGACAGGGCAGGAAGGTGGTAAATAGCAGGGGGCTTACCCTGGGTGGAGAGCCGAGCTCCATTAGCGAGACGCAGGGGGCCCTTGTCGCCTTTGAAGGAAAGGAGAAAGGTATTGTGGAAAGAGGCCTCTTACTGCCATTGCAGGGAAAAGGAATGAGACCGAAAGATGCAAGAAGAGGATGAAAGGGCCCCTATGCGACACTGGAGCGACGGTAGGGTGAAAAGGAAAGAGAAGAAGCAAGCCTAGGATTAAGGATTGCCCTCATCAGCACTAAACTTTTGGTATAGGGTCCAGAAGACTCTCAAAAAGAGCAAAATGTGCTCAAAGAAACAAAATATCCCGCAGCGCACCCTCCTCCCGTGCTGTGATGGGGTGTGATTGGGGTGTATATACACCGTGGGTGGTTGCTTTCCTCACCCAAACTCATAAATTCTGTTTTAAAACGACTTTTCCTGCATGCATGAATGAGAATCTGATCAAAAAAAGGGGAGGAAACAACATTTTCCTCGTCTTGCCCCCATCCGTTTCCCCATGCCCTTGTTCTTCCGGTCGCATCCCATTCATCTGTCCCGCAAGGGCTCATAGGTTATGTGGCCTAGTGAGCTACCATCATGTTTCTCGTATAAAACAAGAATCGTTAGATTTAAGCAATTATTTAGTATGTTTTGTGCGCTTCCGCTAGTTGGCTGCCGTTGCTCCTTACTACTGGAAAGGATCGCGGGGAGGGGTGTACTAAATACCAGGTAAGGCAGCCATAGACGGCTACCCCTTAAACCACTTTGCATCTAGTTAAATCAGAAAAGGTATGCGATTGCAATGGGCATCACCATATTTTGTTTTATGTATCACGGGCAGCTTTGTCATGGAAGGATCTATGCAGCTGCCTGGAGTTAAGCTACTGTAGCGCTCCACAAGGAGTCCTTAGAGATACCTAGTCTTGAATGCGAAGCAATGCGTACTAGAAAGCAGTAAGGTATTCTCCAAAGATCTTTGCCTGCATTCAGCGTGCAGAGTTCCTACATCAAAGGAAAGGCACACCCAGCCTGCTGTAAAAGTTTGGTTGCATTTCGGGATTTCGTAAGGGAACACTTTATTCCACACTCAATACAAACTGAATGTAAAGCTATTGAGCGTTTCCAAGTAGTACTGCCTTCTTGTCATCCCAGCGCCCCTCACTTGCGACATCAGGGGAGAGGGGCAGCTAGGTCCTGTGTAGCTGCATCCTTTTAGCGCTTCGAGCACTTTCAAGCAGTTCTACAGAACGACTAGGGCACACGACATTGCGTAGTCTTTTACTGAGTTAGCAGTACTCTCCTATAAACGTAATATACAAGAAGACAAATCAATTAGTCAATTCTGTGCTATTTCTTGGTGAAATATTACCAGTTTAATATAAGGTGTGTAAGTGTAGCTCAGACCGTTCCATCTTCCCCCCCAATTCAAAATGTGCCCTTGCATTCCGTGCCTATCAGTCAAGAGCATTTGCGTGCAAGACAGGGGAATAGATCCCTACCCTCGGACTGAGACAAACGCAAAAACAATACAAATAAGGGAGAAAATTGCATCCAGTGAAGGAGTGAAATGCAGGGGGGAAAAGCCATGCACACTAGCCAACGACGGACGAGGTACCAGACCAACACGACTCTAGCGCTAATAGCTTGCTGTTATCGGAGCGCTAAATTGTGTGAACTCCCGCTAAAAGCAATAGGCAGCGTAGTATATTGGGGTTAAAGTACATAGAAGTTCAGCGCTGCCTCCCCGCCTTGTGGAGCAGTCTCTGCATGTAGATACGGCTGGTGCATGCAGCATGATTGCTTTCAATGCCCCAAGAGAAACAGAAGGAAAAGTGCACACACAAGATCACTGAGAGTGCCTGCACACAAATCTGTGTGCACAGCACATGTAATACTAATAGCCGGTACCCTCTCAGGCAGTACCCACAGATGAAGGTAGCTATTTCAGCTAGGGCATGCGCTGAAGGCAAATTTATAAAAAAGCGAAGAATGCCGTCCATGTCGATCAGCGCTGTTGAACCAGAGAGAACCGCGAAAATTCTTGAACAAGAAATGAAGCCAACAACTGCTCCTCCGTCAGCCATTATGTCAACGTTGCCTGCTCCAGTTCACTAAAAACTCTCGTCAATTGTGCCTTTCCAGCTCAACAGCTCTGGAGTTCAGCAATTTTGTGGCTCACTGTGGATCCTTCGCCTTCAATTACGTCACTTCCCTGCGCTCTAAAGTCCGCAAAAGAATCGGGGAGTGTTGTAGGAAGCCCAAATTGACAGTGCTGTGACACCTCCAACATTGAAGTAAATCGATAGAGTGAGCAAAACTCATTGATTTTAAGAGCATTGAGAGTCATCTTAGCCCCCTGACCGTCATCCGCCTTCGTCTGGTCACCTTCCGGTGCACCTCGCAAAGCCCGCCGATTCACCTGAAGCAAATATCTAGGCTCGAAAACACATCCACCGCCGGTTGGCCTAATTCCCTTCTTGTCTCTCTCGAACTTTGTGCGTGCATTCACGTGCATTGACCAGTTGTTCTGGAAAGCCCTCCATCGTTAGGGATGGATGCTAACCCTGGAGCATTAGGTCCAGGCCGGAATGAAAAAGGGGTTCCTCAAGGTTCCTTGGTGTAGACCAGGGATGCGCGAGAGCAACAAGAACATTACTACTCTGTTATGTTGTGAGCGCGCTCAGTAGCAGAAAGATTTTAAGGCAAGCAATTGGTTTTTGTGATCACGGGTGGTTAATACTGCAGAAGTCCGTGGTTAGTGCGTTCTGCCTGTCCATTGCCTCAGCCTGCTTAGGAGTGATCATATTGTGGCCAATGTGCAGGCGGGTCATATAGGCACGGCAGAAAGCACCAGCAAATTTCCGACCCTTATCTGTGATGATATTCCTGGGAAGTTCGTGGAGCTTTAGTCATGAGCTGAGGCTGATTGAGTGACTTTGTGAGCTGTGACAAAGCTGGATCAAGGGGTCCAATGGCCAATACCGCTGACTCCGCCAACTAGCCGTACGTAGTCCTGATCACTGGTCTACGGCAGTCGATCAGTTAATACTCAGATCCGACCAGCGTATTGCTAATCTAGTCTCCCCAGTGCCATTTTGCGCAAATTCGCGATCGTCTTTTTCCTGGCGGAGTGAAATCAGCTGCATTTTGAACCACAGAAGGCCATCCTAACATGGCAATGTTAATGCCTTTTGTTATGCTAGATTCTGGGAATAGTTGCGGATGAATGGGTATCCAAAGCATGTGCTTCACGATCATTCGGTAGAAACGATCAATCTTTATAGACAAACGCGGTCGGGCTGCGCAACGTGGACCGCTGTGGCGTCGCGAGAGCGCGTCGGTGACCACATGGTAATGCCCATAAGATGCTTTGCTATAAAGTCATATTAGGGAAGACGCTCAAGCTAGTGAACAACTTTAATGCTACTAAAGTCGTCGACACTCCTTGTAAGATAGGTTAAAGGCGTATGGTTGATTTCTCGACCACACCATATAGGGTTCTCTTTACTGCCTTGGATGCCGTTGCTCGGTTTCATTAGAGCAGTGAAAACTACAAGCAAACATGTGATGTTCCGAAGAGCCCGCATCCGTTGGGAAGAAGCAACTCACACCACTATGCCACTGGCACCGGTTGTCAGAAAACAATATTTCTCATAACGGAGCAGCGCGAGTACCCGAGGAGTAGTAGGCCCACAAAAAGCGTCCTTACCGTGCAAAATCGAAGTCTTTTGTCCTGATTGTAGACTGCAGATGCTTGAAATAAACCTTTAAGGGAGTGACTACTCGGGCAAGTGTAGAAGTGAACTTTCAATACATACGGCACAAGCCCGCAGTTCCGCAGCATCCATGCTTACTCGCAAGGGTGAGACAAACGTGCTTGCTTCGTTAGCCAAAGATGCCTCATATTCCACAGCTGAATAGCACGCTGTAGGTGCTGTGGATGATCCTGCACATTTGAGCTGGATACTAAAGCGTCAGCCCTCTAGAAAGCCATACAACCCTTCTTGCTCAGTTGTACTGATTCCCCATCAACCTAACGTCACAGTTCCGCGTGGCATTGGCATGTCCAAACGGCATATGGGTGAACGTGAGGCTAAAACGCTGCTTTTGTGCCTGTCATCTGGATGAATGGGGACTTGTAAGATTTCTGCAGAGTCAAATGGGGAATAGCCTGTTGCATGTCTATTTTATTAATTTATTCGCCAGTAGGATACATAAGAGACTTGTTTTTCGCAGCGATCTTGTTATGGGGCTTGAAGTTAGCCGACAAGCGCCACCTTCCGTCTTTTTTAGCAACCCTTACCGGGCTTTACCGAAAGCAGATTGTCAATTTCTGCTCTTTGCCTTTCAAACATATCGTCCGCCTACCGCTCGATCTCCTCGTCGTGCTGTGGATGCTCATGATACAGCGAACCACAGTTAACCAGTGACCGTGGGACTAACTCAACACGGTGCGAGAAGGAAAGAGCAGGTAGTCATCCTGCTGACAACTAGCAATTATTTAGCACATCCGCCAACTCTACCTTCATAGTTGCCGATTCTTGCTGTTTCTCGGCTAAAACCTCAAGCTACGTGCCTTAACAAAGAGTCGCTTGCAGAACCAGTGAACGGAAAGCATGCTCAGGAGTGTCTCGTACTGCAGTGCTGAGCTATCTGCATGAGACTGCCTCATCTTGTTGAGCTGCCCATTCTGTCCAGCTCACTATCATTTCATATGAACGTTGTCAAGGAGACTGGAAGGCGCTTTTTCGTAGCGGTTCCCCGCACACCAACCTTCAAAGCGAGCAGCTGTGGCCACATTCGCGTATTCCATCAGCTCATTTGCGGCATACCTGGGATTACGTCGTGGTGCACGGAATCATCATTGAAGTGACGAACCACGCTTACAGACACAGACCTCTAGCTTAAATTTTCATCTAATTATTACATCCTTGCCAATAATTTCGTGCTTGCCCCCGCCAGCAAGCCTGAGTCACAGGGAATGAGCTGACGAGTGGACAGGCATATTGTACTTTTGCGTGTCTGCTGGAATGTAGGATCCACTTTGACCGATGCGAAGTAAACTTAATGATTCTTGCTCACAATATAAACTTTTAAAAGGGGGAGATAACCTGTTATGGGTCCCCAACTACGGTTTCTTCTCTGTAGCCCACCACACCGCTTTACAGGATATGCGGGCGGCTTTCCGTTTACCCGATGCATCAGTTCTGCCCTCCGAGCAGCTAACTTTTGCTGGGATTAGGTCCCGATGTTTTAAGCTGTCTGAATTTTTGCATGCGTCACTAGTTCCGGGATATAGACGCAATCTCAGATAACGAATTCAGGAGTGTTGCTGGAGAGGCTCCCTGTGGCAGCCTGAGAACGCAAGCTCCCTGAGGCCCTCCTTTCTCGTATTTCTTGGGGTGTAGGACGAAGCCAGTTGACACCCAGATGTTCATAGGTTTTGAACTTCGATTGGGTTCTTTCTCTGCAGTCGATGACGCAGGATTTGCCTTCATTTGCCCCTTCAACCTCAGGCAGACCATCATGTGGAAGCCCCGCGATTATCTGTTCGATCAAGCAGTCGCTGCCCATCCAGCGGCCCCAATCGGTGACACTTCAGATAAACCAGAGCTTACAAAAAAAGCAGGTACTAAGTGTACGCTGTGGCTTCACGAGCCTAAGCTCCATATTTCTCCGTATGTGGATTCACTGATGGACTCCTCTACTTAGGCTGAATCAATTCCCCCAAAGCATTCTAACGAGATTAGACTTGCCTTGAGCCGAAAAATTAGGGCTTGAATGGAGACTTGAAAGGTAATGATCATCAAAATCGCATAACTGATCCGCCTTTATAGTTGTTTCGCCCTCCAATAGGCACGTGGTAAAACACACGCATTTCTCTTTATCTGAGGTTACAATGCCGAATGCCTCTCCAACCGGCTGACAAAATGCTTAAGGACTTGCCCATCTCTGTGGTCTTCAAAATTTTTCGGTCTACGGGACATAGACGTACCTACAAACTATCGGCTTACAATTCATGCTTGTTTACCACCTATGAAGCTGTGCTCACGTCAGCTTGCAGGCTGCCTTCTGCCGCCCAACAGGAGTTGTAAAACCGTAAACATTATTGGTCGTAGGGAGTTTACCTTGTCTATATCACTGCGAAAGGAAATCGGATTACTGAATTATCAGTTGGAGTGATAGAAGGCAGACAAATGTTGTAGTTAACCCGGACATTCCGCTGCATCCACAGGCGGTGGACGAGAAGAAAAACGGCATCGAACCATGCGGTGCTACCAGCTGAGACTGTATTTAAAAGGTCTTTCTAGGGAGGCACTTAACTCCAGATTTAGTACAAACATGAAGGCCAGTGAGTGCTTTCCAGAAGAAGTCCCCCTTTTCCTCGGCACGCTCCTCCAGATTTCCAACATGAGAGAGCAGGGACCGCTAGCCGCACCCTCTAATTACTCCGAGTAACGGCATCCAGTTGCGCATAGCAACTGGCGCACATGCACAGGACGTTGCGCCCCTTGGAATGAGCTACCACTACTCTGCAAAAACTAATAAGGGCGAAGGTGCACACAGCTTATTCGGCTGCTTGGTAATATCTGGCTGAGCATGCTTATTGTGCTATGGTAGGAAGTGTTTTGGTGTAGCTGAGCCCGCAACAGCAAACAGATGCCCTCCTGAGCTGTCTGCGCCACTTCTGAAGACGTAGTTCTGTCAGTAGTCGCTGAGGAGGTGCTTCAGGGACTGTTCCAGCACCTAGTGGTGTGAGGTGTGCGTACAGCTGAGGCCATTCTAACTGTGACAGTTTTTCGTTCTGGAAGGGGCATGGCAGCTACTGGTACTACAGCAAGTGTGGCGGGCCTACGTCTGGAGATTCCAGCCGTAGAATATACCAGCAAATCTTTTGCCTATTACGCGTACCTTGACCGTCCAAAACGCGGGGAAGCTAAACTTTTACTAGTCTGAAATGGCTTGAATAGTAGGGGCTGTAGAGCTTCTCGCCGAGGCTGCTGCGGAGGCTGCTGCAGCCACTGGGCTGCAGCAGCCTCCGCAGCAGCCTCAGCAGCAGTGAATTGGCTGTCTTTAAATACGTATTAGAAATACCAACCGAGCAGGCAAACCAGCTGGAGGGAAGCGCAGTAAAGGGTTCTTATTCGACTCGACCTCTTCATTATCCCAGGTGGCCTTCCCGCTTCGCGCCTCCCTCACCTGCCCCTGGGGGGCCGCCGTTGCCCTCTCTTGTACGTCTATTGACAGTAGCCACACATAAAGAGGCTTCAGTTTTGGGGGGGGGGGGCAGAGACTGCGAGCAGGTGTCGCACAGGAGGCAGCTCCTTAGTGAAGACTGTTCTTGCAGCAGCAGCATCGGTTCTCCTGGAGGGAAGTAGCTGCAGCAGCGGCCTGGGGGCATGCCTCTGGGTGGTGTAACACTTCTGCTACGCAGGGTTCCTCTGACTGGGGGAGGAGGGAAGAGCGAGACTGCTTGCGCTGCTTGGATCTTGTTCAGCAGACAAGTCTACAGGCGGCTCCTTGTCTATCTCTGCCTCTCTCGCAGCGATTGCTGTGCGTGTCGCTACTGCAGGGTGATTGAAGATGGCGAACTCTGAAGCCTCGCGGCCAAAAGCGGCTTCAGCAGAAAAGGAGGACAGCGCGCCTGCCCCTCCCCCCCTAGATGCTGCAGATATCGATATCCTGAAGTCATACGTATGGCTGCTGCCTCTGAATGCTGCTGCCTCTGAATGCTGCTGCCTCTGAATGCTGCTGCCTCTGAATTGCAGCAAGGTCCTTCAGCGGGGGGTAGGCGCGTGTAAGCGCCAAAAAGCTGCCCGTGAGCGGCAGCTCTTGTTTCTGCGTTGCTGCGACTGCTGGTCTCCTCTGCTGCTGCCACTGTCGCTGCTGCGCATGTTGTTGCCACAGGGATTGAGTCCTTACACTGCGAGCACCAAGAAGGTGGAAAACGACATCAAACAGCAGGCACAGCGCATTGCGAAGCTGTGTGGCGTGAGAGAAAGCGACACTGGTCTCTGCCCGCCCTCTCAGTGGGATCTTGCAGCAGACAAGAGACTGATGCAGGAGCAGCCCTTGCAGGTTGCTCGCTGCACTAAAATTATTCCGCCTTGTGGAGCATCGGGGAGTGGACCGTCCCAGAGTGCTTCTAGGAGTGGCATGACAGGGGATGTCGATGACGAGCCCAAGTACATCATCAACGTCAAGCAGATCGCAAAATTCGTCGTTGGATTGGGGGAGAAGGTTGCCGCCATGGATATTGAGGAAGGCATGCGAGTCGGGTAAGAAAGGGGGGAGGGGGGATCTGCGATAAATGGCCTTTTGCAGACGGGGTATCTTCGAGGTTGAGGGGTGGACGGGGTTGTGTGTGCTGCCCTCCAAAACACGCAGCCTGTTTGAACTGCAGCGGCGTGGAATTTAGGATTGCTCGTAGAGCTGCTGCTTGCGATGCGTTTTTGCATGCATGCGTAAACACACAGGGTCGATCGGAACAAGTACAAGATTCAGATTCCCCTCCCGCCCAAGATTGATCCGACGGTTGTGATGATGACGGTGGAGGAGGTACGCTATATGAGCAGTGCTTTTTCTCGCCTAGAGGCAGGCCCTTCGGGCGACACTTGAGAGCGAGGAAATTCGCTCTTTGCGCAGAGGGAGGGAGGGAAGTGTGTGTGTGCGAAGGAGACGGGTCGCTGACTGGCGCAAGGGCGGGGGGTGGCTTGTCTTGCGTGCTGTCTATAGAAGCCAGACGTGACGTACAGCGACGTCGGCGGTGCGAAGGAGCAGCTCGAGCAGTTGCGTGAAGTGCTCGAGCTTCCTTTGCTTCACCCTGAGCGGTTCTTGTCGCTGGGCATTGATCCCCCCAAGGGTGTGCTGCTGTACGGCCCCCCTGGCACTGGCAAGACCCTTACAGCAAGGGCAGTTGCCAATAGGACAGACGCCTGCTTCATTTGTGTAATTGGATCAGAACTTGTGCAGAAGTATGTGAGAACGAGGAGCCGTTTTCCGCCGGATAGATAGAAAACACAGCCAGACTCCTGGAGGGCCCTTATGCGCCGCTCGCTCGCTCTGTTGTGTTGTTGTTCGTCTCCTTCTCCTCCTGTGGGCGTCTGGTGCCTAAATTCTTCGCCTGAGCCTCGCGTGTTTTCCGTCTTCTGGCCTCTTCCTTTCCCCTCTCTGCAGGTATGTGGGAGAGGGCGCGCGCATGGTGCGCGAGCTGTTCGAGATGGCACGAAGTCGCCGGGCTTGCATCCTCTTTATAGACGAGATTGATGCGATTGGCGGCAGCAGAGGGTCTGAGGGCGAATCAGGAGGTCACGGAGATCACGAAGTACAGCGAACCATGCTGGGTAGGCAGAGCGTCTGGAGGCGATCCTAGACACCTGCCGCGTGCCTTGCGACGCGTAGAGCTTTTCCTTAGGGGAAACCGCTAGAAGAGAGTCCCTTGCTGCTTCTGGGAGCTGTGCGGGAGATACGTCGTGGCATGCATAGAGTGAGGGGGGAATGTAGCGCTCGGAGGGGCTTCTACGGGTGCTGGCGTGTTGCTCCCCGTGGTCACCCACTGCAACTTCGCCGCTCCCTTTCTTAGCGGTAGCCATCAGATGCCTGCTGTTGGACGGCGCCTTTCTGCCTGGGGCCTGTGTTTTGCGGATTTTTCCCTCAGAGATTGTCAATCAGCTCGATGGTTTCGAGGCACGAGGAAACGTGAAAGTTCTCATGGCGACGAACAGACCAGACACCCTAGATCCCGCCCTTCTACGCCCAGGCCGACTCGACCGGAAAATCGAGTTTGGGCTTCCAGACCTCGAAGTGAGTAAGGGGCTTGAGTGCATGTGTGTGTTTATTGCTTGTCTGGTGCTGCGTGGCTGCTGCTGCTGGGTTGCTGCAGTGTTGTGGCCTCCCCTGTAGCCTCAGCTGCGGCTGCAGCTCTAGCTGCTTTAGGGCTTGCAGCGTATGTCCCCGTATCCGGTAGGCGCAAGCCGCAGCCTTTCCCGTTGGGCAATCACCAAGATGAATTAGCCACCTCCTCCTGCCCGGTGCACTGAGATTCTTTTTCCTCAGGGCCGCACCCACATCCTGCGCATTCACGCCAAAACTCTCAGCGTAGACAGAAACATCAGATACGAGCTGCTCGCGCGGCTCTGCCCTAACAGCACGGGCGCAGATCTCCGCTCTGTCTGCACGGAGGCGGGCATCCTCGCAATAAGGGCCAGGAAAAAGGTAGGCTGCACAGGGTGCCTCCGACAGAGCATGGAGGTCTCCCCTCTTCTGACGCGTCTGCATGAGCCCGTGCTTGCGGAGCTCCTTTCTTATTAGCGTGGAGGCGATCAGGCCTTTCAAGGACTATTAGCTGCTGTGTTTTGAGGGGAGCCTTTTGTCGAGCGTCGGTCGGGCGGCTCATGCGTTTCCAGCAGCAATCGATGGTGGCCCCACAGCGAAATAAATACAGATGCACCTTGGAATTTCTAGCCAGTTTTTATTCTCGGCAACGCGTGAGTTCGGTTCGTCTGTGTGCATGTGTGTGTGGGTGTGTGATTTTTTGGGGGAACAGAGCATTTCAGAGAAGGACTTCATTGAGGCGATTAACCGCGTGATCAAAGGGTACAAGAAGTTTAGCGCTACTGCCAAGTACATGGTCTACAACTAGGCGAGGCAACAGCCCCCTTGGCGCGGCACACAGAAGTATAAAAGGCGGTTTCCGCTGCATGGGCATTTTCATGGAGAGCTGCGTTCCTCATTGACCATCAGAAGAGTCCTATTTGGGGTGTGTAACGCAGCCGTGGGTGTACTGCTTCATGTGATGCGAGTTCACGTTCCTGGAGCCCTTAGGGCATTTTATATTAGGAAAGCTCCAAGAGTTTCATGCCGCTGCGTCATGGATGATATATTTTGCGATTTTCTCTCCACCTTACTTCCCCCTTCGTGGGAATCTGAGTCCATGTCTTGATGGCTGTGGGGGCTCACCATGGTGCCCGCTCATCCTTCCCTGGGGGCCCTTTTGGGCGTAGCCGTCGGCGCCGAAAATCCCCAAGGGGCCCCGCCGCAGCACGAGTGCCTCCATATTTAGGACTGCAGCGCCGCAGGAGTGTGATTTGCCGTGTACCTCAAATCGAGTCGCAGCCAGAAAGCGAAACACAGGGGCTTAGGAAGCAGTAGTGTGACTGGGCTACGAAGGCGCGGAGGGGGGGGCGCTAAGGCGCGCAACAACGAGTCACTGAGACAGAACTTTTGTACAAACCCCCTTCAAACAACCGGAAAGGACGGGCAGCAGCAACGCCGCAGACAGAACAACGAAGGGCTAAGCTGTTAGCACAGAGCGATGCGCTGCAAGCCAAGGCAAGGCGTACCAGGGCGACAGGCCCGCAACCAACACAGCCGAGATAAAAGCTTAAAGTGTGCCAAGAAGCATCATAGAACGTGCAAAGGCACAGAGTGCAGCACAGCAGAAGTGTCGCGAAACGCAAAAGGGGGCGGTGCAGCTTTGGGGGAAGTTGCTAGCGATACCGATATAGAGCCAAATGCGATATAAGAGTGCCAATAACACGAAAGAAAAATAACAAAGACCGACTGCCAGGATACAGTCGTGCTGTGCCCCATCCAGAGAGCTTGCCGCACGCAGAAGCGGCAACACGACCGTATAATCGGGGTCCAAGGCCAACAGCTCTGCTCCACTCTAGCTCGCATGTGCATAGTGGGGCTTTTTTTGGCAGGGTAGTACACCGGTACTCCCATATCGTGCAGACTGACTGTGTGTATGGGTGTGTGTATGTGCGTGTCTATGTGTGTGTGTGCGTGTGTCTCTCTCTATCTATATATGTCTATGTATATGTGTTTATATGTGCGTATGTGTATGTTTCCCTTCGCTGCTTTATCCAGCACTCGTCAATCCTGTGGGCTCGTGTATCTGAGGCCCCTCTCTCTATTGTTTGTAGGAGCGGGGCAACTGGGGATGCGGAGGTGTCAGCGCTGCGCAACAGAGCATGTGCTATGCTGGTATCCGCAGTAGGTTAGGCATGCCTTTGCACTGCCATAGGCCCCCAGCTCTTTGTACCACCTGATGACTGCGGGCGTCACAAACGAGCCTCAGCCACAACGTCGACGCAGATGCACAGCTGGCTCCTCCCGCTTCCCTCCAGAATAATGACTCGGGGAAAACGTGAATGGATCAGTAAACATGCGCATATCAATGCTTGCATGCACAGCAAGAGGACTCTCGGCGAGGGTCGGTACTCAGCGGCGACGGCGACCCTCTTCGCGGGGGGCGGGGGGAGGGGCCTGTTCCTCTTTTTCCGTCGAGAGTTTAGATTTTTCCCAGGAAATCATGACAAACAAAGCAGACAAGCCATTATTTTAGGCGCAATACAGAAACCCAACATGGACCAGGGCCCGCCACCCCCCCTCCCTCTAGAAGACCGGGGGGGAGGCGGGGGCCCCTCTCGTGCGTACCCGGCGGCGGGGGGCCCCTCCCCAGCAGAGGCATCCCAGAGGGGGCCCTCATTACCCAGGCCTTCTCCTTGAAAAAGCGCGCATTTCTGAACAGCACTCGTTTCCCCTGACTCTCTGCGCAGGGAGGCTCTACTGTAGAGTGCCTCCGGCTAACCCTTCGCCAGTACACGGTGGTCCCCTTTAAGTACAACCCTGCATATCTCCCCTTCGCTGCACTGCGCTCAGTCGTGAAAGCGCAGCGTCTCGAGGGCCCTCGCTCCCGCGAAGGGCCTCCCCTCCTCTGAGCCCGGCGGGGCCCCTCTGGGCCTTTTCCGGGTACAGAACCCGGTAGACCCCTGGGTACCAGGAGCCCTCGAGGAAGGGGCCCCCCCCTCCAGGCTTCCCTTCCTTCGCTATAGAGAGAGAGAGAGAGAGCGCCCCTCACAATGGCGGATATCCAGCAGCAGCAGCAGCTGTGGCAGGGAGCGTCGGGGGCCCCCGTCCCGCCTGCCCGCTCAGCAGCGGCGCATGCAGGGGAAGGCGGGTGCTACGTGTGGGGGGGCCCCCCGGTAACCGCGTCTGCCCCGAATTCCGGCTCAGGTGTCTCTACGGGGCCCACCGGAGTCGATAGCCTGAGCAGCAGGCGAGCCGTACGGCTAATTACGCTCAGACCAATGCGGGAGCTGCGGGTGCTCCTCCCTGAGCCCCCTGAACAAGAGCAGGGGGAAGGAGTTTTCGACGAGAGACACACAGTGGCAGTCAAGGTATGTGTGTGTTGCGTGTGTTTCCCGATTAAAAGGCCCCTCAGGACGAGAAGGGACTAAATAGGGCCTCCTGGGGCCCCTTTTCAAAATTTTCCCTTCAAACGCTCCTGCGAGGAGGTGTACCTACCGGGCTGGGTAGCGCCCCTCAGGGGAAGTCTCGTCTTTTGTTGCGCAGCAAAGCAATTCGACTCGCCACATTACGATCACACCAAGCTTCTCCTACGACTTAGCGCTCTGTTGCTGAATCTCTCTCTCTCTTTTCTCGCTCTTTTCTCGCTCTCTTTTCTCTCTCTCTCTCTCTCGCTCTCTCGCTCTCTCTCTCTATTTTCTCGCTCTCTCTCTCTATTTTCTCGCTCTCTCTCTTTTCTCTCTATCTCTCTCTTTTCTCTCTCTTTTCTCGCACTCTTTTCTCTCTCTCTCTTTTCTCTCTATCTCTCTCTCTTTTCTCTCTCTTTTGTCGCTCTTTCTCGCTCTCTTTTCTCGCTCTCTGTTCTCTCACTTTTCTCTCTCTCTCTCTGCACGCGTGTGCACTTTGCCGCTGCTCTGTTGTTTTTTCTGCCTGCTTCAGCTGCTTGGATCTGGAGGTGTGGACCGCGGCGGTCCTCGGGGGCTCCGCATCGGCGGCAGCAGTGCAGCAGCAGCAGCAGCAGGAGGCGCCGTAACAGTTTCGGGGATTTCTGGAGCTGCTGCATCAGCGTCAGCAGCAGGCACGGGCGGGGCAGCAGCTGGCACTGCGGAGATATTCGGATGCGAACTGCTGCCCGAAGTAGAAGTCTCTCTCCCCCCCGCTGCTCGTCTTGCCGTCTTCTCCTGGGGGGGCTGCACGCTGCAGATCAGAGGTCAAGTACACCAGGTGGGCAAGGTGCTCTGCGGTCAGGCGTTATATCTATGCATATATAATGTATATGTGAATATCTGTATGTGTGTATATGTCTATATGTGCTTACATATCTATATGTATAGTATACAACTATGTGTGTAGAAATATATATGTATATGTATATCTATATGTATATCTATATGTATATATATATGTATAAATATATCTATATCGGTATATATATATATATGTTGGGCGCGTCATATTGGATGCTGCTGCTACACATTCGCCTGCTGTTGAGAGAAAGCCTGCAAGCAGCAACAGCTGGTCAAACAAAAGCAGCCCTGTCCTTGTGTCATCGGCAGGGGAGGTCTGTGCTATCGCGACTGCTCTCTTTGGCATTGCAAGGGGGGCATTGGTATGCACATGCACCACATAGCAGCTGGTTACTCTACTACGTAAATCTGTGTGGCTCTGCAGCTCACAGGGCCCCCTCCGTATGCATGCCTGCTCTTTGTCGTTCGTTTTTTAGGAATACGAGGCTGGCGACAGAGCCATGAGCTTCATCTGCAACTTAGCAGCTGCCCTCAATGAAAGACGCCGCGCGGCTGCAGCTCAGCAGACCGTAGGACCGCGAGTAAGCAGCTGGCAGCCGCTTCCGAAAGCTGACATCATTCAGACTGAGAGGCAGAGGAGGGTACCTGCCCTTCGCTTGGACGCTCACACTTTCTCCGGGGTTCCTTGACTCGACTTGACATTAGCTAGCGATCGCATGCTGTGTCGATTCGACTCACACTGCTAGTTAGGGAGGGGACCTTTTGGTGCTGTATGATTGGCGGCAAAGAGCAGGCTTAGCTGAGTGGATGCCAAGGCAGGGGGAACTGCAGCAGCCCACGCGCATGCAGATAGAAACAAGGGGGCCTTTACTTCGGGAAGAAATTTTGGGGAGCAGTGTGAGCCGGTGGACGTCGAACGGCATGGGTGTGAGCTTCCTTCTCTCTCGTGCGTTCTTCTGCTCCAATACTGCAGGTGCTGGTGACGGGGAGTGGTGGCAGTGGGAAGAGCAGCGTCTGTCAAATTCTCTGCAACTATGCCCTCCGAGAGGGATGGACTCCGGCTTTTGTGGAGCTTGATGCGAGGTAAGTGAGAAGGGGAGACGGTAGAAGGCATGCAGCGTTTTGAGTGCTCTTCAAACGATGAGGAGGTGGGGGAGAGAAAGGGGGAAGGCTTTGCGGCGAGGGGCTTCATCGCATGAACGCGGAGGAGCAGCCTTGAGGCAGCAGCACGTGTCTCCTCCTGCATTCCCCCCTTCCGCATGCGCGTGCAACAAGGCTGGCAGCGAAAAGTGCTGACGCGAGCGGGGAGAATTTTTTTGGACGGGCAGTTTTTTGCTAGGGGCATGCGAGCAGCATACATGCCCTCGCGTGGAAAACCTTTGTCATGTGTGCGCTGTGCAGAGGCAGCTGTGACAAGGGCCCTCTGCAGCTGCCTCCGGGGTGTATTGGCAGCTGCGTGTGTCGGTATCTGGATGTCGAAGAACCGGAGGATCCTCTGATCTTTTTTGTTGGCAGTAGCGTCGCTGCTGGAGGCGGGGCGTTTTGTCCGTTGCCTCGGCCTCCTGATGTGCATTTGCCAGACGCAGGAGGAGAAGAGAACGCAGCAGCGAATACTGCAGCAGCAAATACTGCAGCAGCAAACGCTGCAGCAGCAACACACGCAGGAGCAGCAGCAGCGGGGGGGGCAGCAGGGACAGGGGGTGCAGCCGAAGGCGCAGCAGACGGTGCAGGAGCAGCACCAGAAGGCGTGATCGGACCGGGGGATATTTCTTTAGAGCTCTTTCCCTGGCTGTGCAGCTGTCTTAGCGCCGCTTTGCATGCAGCGTTTGCTCATTCGCTGCTGCAGCATTCTGAAGCCGCCGCTACAGGAGACCCTGCTGAACTTGACGATACCGCCGCTTGCAACGAGACGCATGCGCCTTCCCTAGCAGCCTCAGGTGAGAAGAGGCCACGTTCCCCCCTGAAATGCCTCCCCCGCGCGTAGGCACCACTCACGTAGGCACCACTCACGTAGGCACTCAAGCTGCGCAGAAGGTGCGTAGAAAAAGCGCGCTGGTAGGCGTCTAGGGCATTTTTCCTGCCGCCCCTCGGTGGAGAGTCCGAAGAGATGCAGTCTATTCCCCCTCCTCAGCGACGTCGTCGTGGCACATGTGCCCACGCTATGCCACCAATAGTACGGCTCGCCTGAGTTGCTGGGCTTGCATGCAGGCTTGATTGCCAACGCTCCGCAACAGGCATCGCTGCAGCAGCTGCAACAACTCGTAGAGCTCTTCGGGTTCGATGTGGTGGTCGTGCTGGATCACCCCTCTCTCTGCCACGACCTCGCGGGAATCTACGATCACGTCCTTCCCGACACTGCGGAGGAGGCAGCGGCGCAGCTGCAGGGCCTGCAGCAGCAGCAGCAGCTGCGACTGCAGCAGCTAGGCGCGGCAGCAGTTCCCCCGCAACCCCAGAGAGTCGAGGTTGTTCCTCTGCCGAAGCTCGAAGGCACAGTTGCAGTGAGGCACCCTTGCCTCTCATCAGGCTTTTGCCGAAGAAGAAGATCCTGCGCACTGTCCTTCTTCCACGCGTTTGTTTGAAGCGCATCCCGAGCGACCTTCGTCGGCGTGGCTTTGGCTCTTGCCTCTGGCAGGTGGATTCAACTGTATCCTGCGACTGCACTGCGGCTGCTGCCTCATGTCTCTGCTGCAGCCCGACGCTGCACGAATTCGCGTCCTACGCCGCCTCTGGTTGCGCCGCTACTTCTTCGGGGCCTCTCCTCAGTCGATGCCTCCCCAAACCCTACGGCTGCCTCTTAGCCAGTGCAAGCTGCTGCAGCTCAGGCAGAAGGCAGCACTGCCCCTCTCAGCCCTGCCAGCAGGTAAACGCAAGTCAGGGAGGCATATCACCTCCGTACCATGCACACGCTTTTCGTGGTGCAAAATACGGTCCGGCGTCCTCATGCACCTACTACCAAAGCTGCCGAGAACTCTGGGTGTTGGTTCATCCATGGGAAGGCGGGAGCCAGGACTGGCCATAGACAGCGATCTGTGGCTAGCCAGGACTGGCCATAGACGGCGGTGTTTAGCTAGCCAGGACTGGCCATGGACAGCGAGCTGTAGCTAGCCAGGACTGGCCATGGACAGCGAGCTGTAGCTAGCCAGGACTGGCCCTAGACGGCGGTGTCTAGCTAGCCAGGACTGGCCCTAGACGGCGATCTGTAGCTAGCCAGGACTGGCCCTAGACGGCGGTCTCTAGCTAGCCAGGACTGGCCCTAGACGGCGATCTGTAGCTAGCCAGGACTGGCCCTAGACGGCGATCTGTAGCTAGCCAGGACTGGCCCTAGACGGCGGTGTCTAGCTAGCCAGGACTGGCCCTAGACGGCGATCTGTAGCTAGCCAGGACTGGCCCTAGACGGCGAGCTGTGGCTAGCCAGGACTGGCCAATCGCCACCAGGGCCCTTTCAGGTCCAGGTGGCTCTGTCTCGTGATCGATGCGCGTGTCAGTATCCTCGTTCGCACTACCCACTGCTGCAGCTGTTGTGTGTGTGTCCACTTGTTTTCCTGGTGTTCTCAGACAGCCAAGCAGCAGAGACCTCTCGGCTGCAGTGGGAACCGTTTAGAGGCCTCCCCAGTTCGCTGCTAAATTCACTTTTGGCTGTACCCGCGACGAGAGATCTCCGGGGGCTGCCGTGGACAAGCGTCGCCTTTTTCGCGCATGTCTGCAGCGTAGAGGTGAGCAAACAGACACTCAATCGTGTTGTTCCCCCTCCTGGATGCAAATAAGAAAGGCCGCTTCCACCTTGGTTCGCTCCTCTCTGAGACATCCAACTCTCTTGGGGCTGGCTGCTACACTCTAAGGGCGGGACCTTTGAACACCGCCTGCATGCATTCAAACCGCATGGTCTAACCCCTGGCGCCTTCCTTCTCCCGTAGCTAAGAGGCGGCACGGCCATTCCACAATGTGAGGGCCGCTTTTCCCAGTTGAGAACTGGCCCCGCAGCTGATGCACGATGATTTGCGATGATAGATCTATCTCCTCCTCTTGGCTGGCTTCTGCGCTTCTCCCCCCGATGCTTCAGGTGGACGGAGACGAACCGGTGCTTCATCTGCGCGTCCCTGGAGGAATGGGAGATGCCTTGGGGGCGCGTTTGCTGCTGGTGCCTCACGACCTTCGTTCTATGAAATGCTTCCTCGATGGCTAGAGAGACACAGCGGCAGCAACTGCCAGTCTGGCTGCAGCTACTGCAAATCTGGAGGCAGCAGCTGTAGTTACGGCAGCAGCAATAGCCAGGACTGCAGTGTTGAGGCCCCGTTGTGCTGGGGACTGGCTGGCGTCTCCAGCAAGTTCAAATGGGGAACCTCAGGCCCTCCTCCCCGTGCATAAATCGCAAACTTCAATTAAGGCTATTGTACACGCAGCGGTAGATATGCATTCGCCTACTCTCTCTCTGGACACATAAATCTCGAGGATCCTTTTAGAAGAGCAGTGCGGCCTCTAGGAGCCTTTTCCCCAAGGACCTCGTATAGATTGGATACTTGCTTGCAGGGTGAACGGCTGTACAAACGACTAATAGAGCAGTGTGTGCAGTGTCTGACACATGGACTGACCGGATGTACGGGGGAAACACTTTAGGCAACCCCTCAGTAGAGTCACGCAAGGCAGTGCACATGCTTTTCGAGACGGCTGGGTAGCCAGGCAGTTGATAGACTCAACGGAGGCCTTAAGGATCATACACGAATAACGTCGCATTAAGGGGGCCCTAACCCTGTGTGAGGCATACTACGCAAGCTCTCAAGGCCCGAACTGCGGGGTGCACGTAAACCACGAGGCCTCAAAGCCCTCGGACGCACCTCCGAAAGGAGAGGTCGCTGCCGCTGGCGCTGGCGTTGCTGCTGCAGTCCAGTCGCGGCACTTTGGGATAATGAGCTGCTCCAGGTGAAGCCCATAGCTTTCTCGACGCCAAAGGCCTCTATGAACGCATTACTGAATGACTGCCTTGGCCTTGGACCAGGGCTTTCTTGCGGCTGCCCTGTGGCTGCGGAGGCCTCCCTTTGCAGTCCTCCTGGAAAAGCGACACTCGCGGCGCTGACGCACTCCCGCTGTCTCAAGGGGCCTGCCGTGAGGACTAAGGAACTCGCCTCCAGAAGCCCTGAGAGGCTTTCTATGTTATTGCTGGTACTGCTTCTAGTTTGCGCGCTTTGGGTGACAAGGGGATCATCCCCCTTGCCCCGAAGAGACGCCTGCACACTAAGAGGAGAGTTGCTGCACTCAGAGAGGCTCCCAGGAACGTCTCCCTGGAAATGAAGCGCTCGCAATGTCAGCAGGGGGGTCCCTGTGGCCCTCCGGCGAGTGGTCCTTGCCTTCCTATTGAGGGAAAGAGCCTTGTAGTAAAGCCTGAGTACACATAGGGGCGACAACTCGGCCTGGGGAGCTTTAATTTGGGCTAGCATTAATAACGACTCCCCCAGATGTGCCATATATATATATATATGGAAGATGAAAGGCAGGCAGCCAACGGTCCCCAGAGGCAAGCGCACTCTGCTGCACGCTCTCGGGGGGCAGGCAGGAGGCGATTCGAGGCAGCTTCACAAGGGGACGGCGAAGAACTACCGGCCTCGCTCTGCATGTCGTGCTGCGTCTCCTTCTCCTGACAACGCGCGTGTGGCCGCTGCTGCTGGGCCTTGTGCGCAGCTGGCTGGTGCCCCAACGCGTGCTGAGGGTGCCTTATCATCGGCCCCAGCAGACAGTCGTGCTGCACGCCCCCTATCATTGCGCTGCAGCACACGGCTCCACACCCGTAGAGGCGCACAAACGGCAAGGCTGGTTCAAGTCAGAAATTTTCCCGGCAGCCCCCAGGAGGGATACGCAGATGCGACGCAGCGGCAAACACGAGGACGCTGGTTTCAAGCCATCGTCGGCCTCCTCATCATTCAACGCCTTACTTTGCAACGCGCTGTTCCTTTGCTGCCACTTGCGATCCTTGGCCTCCAATGCCAGAAGCAGACGTGCTGGCTTCTGCACGCTGTTTTTGCCGCAGGGATGCACAGTACGGGTGCTGCGTTTCTGGCTGTAGGCTCTGCAACAGTGAAGGTCCTTGGCTTACATGCTGCTGCCTCTGTACTGTGTGCATGCTGAGCGCTCGCTTAGAGAAGGGGAGCTCATCGTAAGGCAAGGGGGGGCCCTGTACTATGGTCTGCTGCTGTGGTCTCCACTGCTGGCCCCACTTCTCTCCCTGTACCAACTGCCGCCGACGCTTCGTGTCTTTCTGCCCCCAGCAGGACGGTCTGAGAGACTCACGGGCATGACAGCATGCAACGCCAGTAACCGAGCAACAGTGGATGAAGGCAGACGAGGGCAGGCATTACTGCCGTTCACGTCCTTCGACAACCGCTTCATAGATCCACTTACTGTGATGTGTAAGTGTGTTCACTGCTAGGGAAGGCTTTCAGGTCTCCAAGGGCTTTGGTGTTGACGCTGCCTGTCCGCTGCCTGCTTTGACGGTGCTGCTGTGTGTCCTGTTGATGCGCCAGCGCATGCAGCTCCTTTTGCTGCAGCAGCAGGCCTGGCAACACCTGCAGCTGCTGTCTGGAATGATCATGCGCAGTCCGCACTTCGCTTGATCCACGCTGTCCTTCCTGCCTCTCTTGGTGCTCCTGGGAATATGCCGAATCGACAGACTCGCTAGGATTATTCCTGAGCGTTGTTGGCTTGGTGGCGAATTGTTCAAAGGCCCCTTGAAGCTGTCCTGGGCTTTCACTTCTCTTGAGAAGCTTGGGGTTTTCTCGAGGGTGTAGCAGCGATTGTTGTTCCTGGTGGTGTTGCTGCTGATTCTGGGACTGCGTGGAAAGTGTGTGAACAGCTCTCGAGAGTTGGCACCCCTGAGCTGTAACGCTAGTGTGGGGTAAAGGGGATTCTTGCGTATCTAATTGCTCCTTCGAGGCCTCTACTTGCTTAGGAGACCCTAGGAGTCCTCTTGCGGGGCAGTGCAAAGTCTGCTGTTGAGTAGAAGTGCCCACCCGTCGGAGGCTCTCGAAGGAGGCAGCTCCAGTCCATGGGGTCGTCGGCAGCAGACACTCAGGCGTTTGATCCTGCGCTGATTTCGCGAGAGAGGAAGGCGGCTCTTCTTGTTGCGCGTGCGGCTGCTCTAGCCTTGGCGGCTGCAGATCTTCTTGCTGCTGCGGCTGTTGCCAGACGTCTGTGCGTTGAAATAAGCCGTATCCGAGGCTTTTCCTGATGGTCCGAGTGAAAGCTTCCGGGAGTCTGAGGGAACGAAAAAGAGGCGGAACTCCGTAGCTGGAGGTCCAGAGCATATGTGGAGGGAGAGAGGAGATCTCAGGGAGTGTGACGAGGGGCAGCTCCCGATGTCTGCTCTCAACCTCCTCCAGCACCAAGTCGATCTCCAGCTGGAGTTCCCGTGCTGCTAGCCGGCCGCTCCGCAGCAACCGTCGTGTGCGATGCCCGCGAAACGCCGCCTACAAACAAAAGGGAGATGCTTTGAGAGACGCTGGAGAGAGTGGTGGGCAGGGCACACAGACACGAAGACGGACCAACAGCGAGACAGCAAGCTATTCACGACGATATACAGAGACTGGGGAAGACTGTAATGAGCGACGCCTCAAGAACAGCTTTCTCGGTGTGTTTCCGCATAAGAGGGCCCCCAAGGCTTGAGCCCTTCAAGAGCAAGTTATCTAGCAGGTGCTTCGTGAGCACCTGTATCTTCGTGGCATAAAGATGCTTTTCCTTGTCGCAGGGCAACCTCAGACCCCTTTTCCGCAGTTGCTGCCTTGTGATGCCTCCTCGCCAGATGGCTTGCAGCTTCTCCAGGCGGCATCTATAGACTTTATTTTGTGGCAACAGGAACACCCTCAAGGCGCGCTGCACCCTGAAAGCCTTCCTCGCCGCGTACCCCCTCCAGGCTGCTGCAATTGCCGTTACTGCCCCAGATGAGAGGGCCTTAAGGTTTGCTGCGTGTTGCTGCAGCTGCTGGAGGGCCCCTCTGGCCAGCCGCTGTCGAGCTGACGAATGCCAACACTCCAAGGCGGCAGCCAGTTGCCTTGCTGCGTGCTGTACACGTAGCTCCCTCATAGTTTGCTTTGCAAGGGCCCTCAAGCAGCTGCTCCTCCAGGTGCGCTGCAGCAGCGCAGCAGCCTGGTGCCGTCTCTGTGCGGCTGCTGCTGCCTGGAAGGCTTTCTTGAGAAGTGCAAGGCCGTGCCGCTGCAGCGCATCCTTGCTTCTCTCCACCCACTTGTCTAAGAGAGACACCAACAAGAGGGATCGGTGCATTAGCAGCATTCGTTGACGCTGCTCCTTCATGAGCTTTCTCTGCCACTGCGCACAGGAGTCCTCCCAAGCCATATGAGGCTGTTCATACGTCAGCTGATGCAGCTGCATAGAAACTGCCCTGCTGCGTCTGTCCTCAGTTTCCATCTCGCGCCGTTCGGCTCTGCAGTAACACATGGAATGCCAGCTGCCTGTTGTCTTCTCTCTCTTTCACTGCTCTTGTAGTATCTCGCTGGTCTAATCCATCTCAGTACTTAGGTGTTTTTTCCTTCTTTGTGTTTTCTGTGGATGTATCTCGCTTCACTTTTATTGTGTGCGTTGTGTTTCTGCCTGAGGTCTGCGGAGCGGGGAAGGCACTGGCACACGGTGCTATATACTGCCTTGAAGTGGTCATCTTTAGCAGATGTGGAACTCCTCCTGGCGCTGGTGGTGCTAACTACGTTCGACTGCAGATGCTACATGGGATTCCAAGACTTCAAATGTACTAGAGGAAATCTCGGTGTTTTTGTGAAGTTTGTTACTGTGTCCTGTCTTGAGCGATAAACGCAAAGTTGCGCTGCCGCAGTTCTTCTGAATACAGCAGATGCCTCTCTCGCTGCTCCCGGGATCGAGAAAAGAAGCTGTGCCCAAAGGCAGCAACGCAAAAATGCAGCGATGGGCCCAAGCGCAACAACAGCAATGGCAAGTATTGCATCAGCATGGCCGTAGAATTCACACCGTCACTCGTTGTGCAAAGCTTCTCTAGGAGTGTCTCCGCGGGCCGTAACACTAAAAGCTGCACGGGGATTCAACCAACCTGAAGCCAATTGCTATGGCAGTGGCAGTCCGCGGTGCCTCTTCCATATTTCTTTCCCCATGGGTCACTCCTGGACGGCCGTGAGGCTGATACTCGTTATACAATTCACGCCCTGTAACAGCTCCTGTTGCGGCATGCGGCAAAGAGAGAGGCGCCCCTCTTGTTTTCTGAACGCATTCCTCGTCGGGCCTTAGGCGCACATGGACAACTGCCGCTGACGGATTCGCCCAAATATGAGCGTCCGCTGCTCTTCCAGCAGCGACATGTACTGCTGATTGTTCATCTGACACTGTTGTTGGTGAGGCTTTTGAAATAGCTAGAACTGTCACAATGCCGTCATGCCCTGCGGTTGGTGGGCATAGACTCAGCTCTGCATATAGCTGAGACCGGCGTTTCTCCTCCCTTTGTCTGCCTTTCAGCAGCATCTTCCTGTGCTTTTGCTGCATCAACATTAGCTTTGATTCGTGCTCCTGCTGCCGTGCTCTGTCTTCAAGAGCTGCTGCTTTTCTCTGCTGCTCCTTCATTTGGGCATCTTCCTTCAAAGCCAGAAGCGCCCGCTGTAGCCTGTTCATTTCCTCAGTTGCCTGCTGCACCTCCAGTGGCTCCTGTGGGTCTCTTCCCAACATGACAAAATCCCACAGGCCTTCAATATTCTCTGCTACAGTTGGTTCGCAACTCATCTTTGTATGGAGCTGCACTGTCTCTGTAGAGGCCTCCCGATCCATATGAGCCTGTGGATATTCTCTTGGAATCCCGTGATTATCGGCAAAGGCCGATTCTCTTAAATGACTCTCTGGAGTTTCTGCTTCTACGAATCCATCCACAGTTGAAGAGGCATTCCCTTCCCTGTGTGAGCAAACAACTTTGTGCTCGAGGCCTACAGCAGCGGTTCTCTGAGGCTCTAGTTTTCGGTCTTCCAATAGCCCTTCCTCAAGTCGCTCCGCTTCCTGCTGTTGCTGTTGTGCCTCTTGCTCCTGCTGCTCTTGTGAGCTTTGTTGCATCTGTGCCTCAGTTGGGGCTTCTTTAAAATTGTTTTCCAGGAGTCCCCAAGTTGATGCTGCCTGCTGCTGCAGACCTTCCAGTGACTCTCTTAGTTGTAGAGCTATCCCCACTGCCTCTGAAGCTGTGCCTTCTCGGTTTTGGCTCAGCCGCCTTAGCAGACTTTCGTGCAGATCGTCATATGCACCTTCTTTTTGCGTCCCGTCGTCGGCCACACCGTTTCCGTGGTAGAGGGAGTCCTTAGAATCAAATGGCCTAGATAGTGCGAAGTCGCAGGCGACATGAGAAGCACTGTAGCCTCTTTCTGCATCCCCTTCGGAGTCACCATCATCCGATAGCCTACTGACAAAGGAGTTCCCTGTTTCCGAGGTCTCCCAGGAGGCGTACGCAACCGCTTCGAGCTCACGCTGCAGATCTAGCTCCAGCATGGCCTCCTCTGAAAGAGAAGGGCCCCTTTCCATCTTTACAGGCGCTATGGGAGAGAGGTTCCTAGAGTGCCTTGCAGGCAAACCCCCTCAACCTTGGCAGGCAGCTGACTCTGCCCTGGGAAATTAAAGGGAGTCAGCGGCAGCAACTACTTTTATGGAGGCCAAAGGCCCTGCAACAGCAATACAGTGTGGGGCGTGGCTTTCATAGCCGCGGGCCCCCGCGGCTGCCCGCTGGACCATTGGAAATCTGCTGTGTATCCCCGCAAGATATGCCTCAAACACTGAGCTTTAGGCCTCAGAGGCTAACCTCTAAAGTCTAGCTATTAGGCCATGCTATCCCTGGGTCGAGCCAATGCATGTTGACAGCTGCCGAAAAGGAGGAGCCCTAAAGGCTGGCCTGGAGTCCCCTTTACACGGAATCCCGACAGCGCGGTGTTTCCTGACTGCACAAGGCTACAGGGGTTCTCCAAGGGTTCTTGTTGACTATCCTTCGGATGCAACGGCCAATTTTTCTCTCGCGCACTCTGTGGTTCTAAGAAGTCGTTGAATAAGCTGCAGGGCTAGCGGGCGAGACAGTTCCTTTGCTGTCCGCTTTTCTCCTCCCCGTGAGAGCATCCCTAGGGACTACAGCGTTTCCATACTTCAGCATCTGGATATGCGAGCGCGTATCTTTTAGCAGAAGTCATGAAACAAGCAAATTTATCACAGCACTAGCGAGATTTCGGGTTCTCGGGAGTATTCGGCACACGCCAGAATCGCGTTACGAGTTTATATCTTTTGAGCCTGTCGCAGTTTCTTCTTTCTCCAGCAGCCTCTCCCGTCTCTTACGCAAGCACACACATTTAAGATTCTCTTCCAGTGTGCGTCCCTCCTCTACACCCGCACTGCACGGGCTTCGCGCCTCTCAGGCCCGACCAGAGCCAACCACACAGCCCCAAACACACGGGTGTCGTGGCTCGAAGCACGATCACCGAGCTCTGTTTATCGCAAGGAAACGAACTTGTTGACAGAGTCTTATGGCTCCTTTCGCATGCAACATTACGAACTCAAAGGTCATCGCTGCCTTCAAGATCAGGGTTTCTGCGTATAGTAACCCTGGCCCCTCAGGGGGTTGTGGTGGGCTGGGACACATGCAGCACTTCTTGCCTGCTGCGCGAAGTTACCGCCATTATCGCGATACAGAATCCACCGAAAAGTGGTCTCTTGTTTCAGGAGGCCTTAACGAAGCGCAAGTAAAGCCAGGCCTTTCGTGTCCTTTTCCACTCGCTGCACCCGCAGGAGCGCCATAGCCATCCTTCACAGGCCCTACACCGGACGCTTAAGCCCGGGAAGATGGGCATTAAGGGCTTAACGAAGTTTCTGGCAGACCAGGCTCCATCTGCCTTGCAGATGGAAGCTCGAGCCTCTCTGCTAGGCCGCGTGGTCGCTGTGGATGCCTCTATGGCGCTATATCAGTTTCTCACGGCTGTGAGAGACGCACAGACAATGGGAAACCTCACAGATGAGTCCGGGAATGTTACCAGTCACCTGGCTGGAATGCTTGCAAGGGTCACCAGGTATGCCCAGCACACCCGCAGGAAGGAGGCCGCAGTGGCTCGCAACCTACAAAGCCACATGCCTGTATACATGCGGCCTTCCGAACTGCCACAGAGTCTTATAGTGCCATTATTATGCTTCTTGTACTTTGATCGACCATCCTCTATGGATACGCCCACAATCGAGCGCTTGTCACTTGCCTGGTAGTATTGGCGCTGCACCATGAATATCCCATTCCTTCTCTTCACATGCATGCATGCCTATCTTCGTGCATGTTCGCCTGCCTCTCTACACGCCTGTTTGCCTGCATGCCTCTATGTCTGCCTGCCTGTCTGTTTGCCTGCCTGCATGCCTCTTTGTCTGTCTGCCTGCCTGTCTGTCTGTCTGCCTGTTTGTTTGCCTCCCTGCATGCCTCTTTGTCTGTCTGCCTTCCGTCCTTCACTCTTGAATCGCCAAGTCCCTTTCTATACTTTTCGAATTTCGCGTGGGTTTTGTTTTTGCATGCGTCTGTTTTTATCTTAGGATGCTAGAACAAGGCATTCGGCCCGTTTACGTTTTTGACGGGGCAGCCCCCGAGCAGAAAGCTGCCGAGTTGGATCGCCGCAGGGAGCGACGAGAGGAGGCAGTGGCGCTCGCTGAAGCAGCGAAGGAGGCTGGCGATACGGCGGAACTGAGGAAGCAACTGGCGAGAACTATTCGCGTCAGTCCAGAGCAGAATGCAGAGGTCCAGCGGCTGCTGCAGTTGCTGGGGTTGCCTGTGGTGAAGGCCCCTGGGGAAGCAGAGGCTCAGTGCGCTGCGCTTGCAAAGAGCGGCAAAGTGTGGGCATCCGCGACGGAAGACGCAGATGCTCTTACTTTTGGAACGCCTATTCTTATTCGGAATCTCACATTCAGCGATAGCAGCACGAGCAGCAGCAGCAGCGGAGCTGGTAGTGGTACGGGGGTCAAGGGGCACCCGGTGCTTTCTATTCGCCTTGACAAGGTCTTGAGTCAGCTGCAGCTCACGATGGATCAGTTTATCGATTTTTGTATTCTCTGCGGCTGCGACTATTGTGGATCGATTCGGGGTGTCGGTGCCAAAACAGCCTACAACATGATTAAGCAGCACGGCAACATAGAGGGGGTTTTGGAGGCTTTGGATAAGGAGAAGTACACGGTTCCCGACCCCTTCCCCTTCCAAGCGGCGAGAGAATGCTTTAAACAGCCCTTGGTGCTGCCGCCAGAGGAAATCTCCCTAAAGTGGGGCGACGTAGACGAGCAGGGACTTAAACAGTTCCTAGTGCAGGTAAGAAAAGAGGAGCTTGAGGCACCGGTGTTTGGGTTGGGGGTTTTGTGGAGTTCGCCATTGGATTGTTCTCTGCTTCCCTGCATTTTAAAGGCATCAAAGGAAGTGAAAACACAGCAGGGTGCACGTACTTACTTCGAGACCTCAGCGCCAGTGGGGTCAGGGGTCAGCTAGGCCAGGGGCACGCATGCACGAGCAGACACGCACTCCCACGCAGTCTTTGCCAGAAGGGAGGCAGGAGAGTCTAATAGGGAAGCAGTGCATCCGAGTAGAAATCCCCTCTGTGCCTCCATCCTGCGGGCTCAAACTATTTGTCGCCTGTGCAAGCGTCAGCAGTGCTGCTTGCGGAGTAGACGTGGTCTTTCCTTCTCTCTTGGCATGTGTCCTGACCCGCCCCCGCCTGTTCACACCTCAGAAGCTCTTTCCCACTTCTTTCTTGTGGTCGCTCAGGAACGAACCTTCAGCGAGGCACGGGTGGAGGGATACCTGCAGCGTCTGCGGAAGGCCAAAGGCCTCTCCACGCAGACACGGCTTGAAAACTTTTTTGGGAGCACGGTCAGCAAGGCCTCCGATTTGGCTGTCAAGCAGAAGACAGAACAGGCCAACTCGAAAAACGCACAAAAAAAGAGAAGTGGACACTTCAAAGGACCCCCCGCGAAGCGGAGATAAAACTGCAAGGAATGCACATACACTGTACTCCTCACCCTACTCCGCTTTCCCACAAGCGGAAGGGGAAAAGAAACTTTTTTGAGGCCCCCTCATGCGAGGCTCTGGACGACCAGGGAACTCGGAGGACATAGAGGAGACTCGCACGATCGCAATAGGCTGACTGCTCCCACCTAATGCAGTGTGTGACTCCTATTTCCTCGTTTAAATTAAACGGAAATCGTTAAAAGCCCTTTGCCCATCCGTGCACCCGCCGTCTTAAGGGCTGATCATCTAACGGGTGACCGCCACGGGCTCAGGACCTAGAAAGTGTAAATATTTCTTCATGGCTTACACCACCTCGAGCGAGTCCCTAACACTCCCAGTCGTAAGGAGGGGGTACGTGTCGTACAACAGACCAGATCACAACATAATAGGCACAAACTAACTGCCCACACACTTACAAGCTAAAAATTACACCAACGCATTTTAAGCTGGATGAGCAAATTGGCCTGCAGCAAGAAACACTACAGTAAAACGTGCAACGAGATAACTTGGCTTTGTATTGTAGGAAGTCTCCTTCCCTTGTATTTTCAAAGGGGGTCTCGTTTCTACAGCACTTGCCTGCACACAATCGGATCAAATCAACAAAGGGCAAGTCATTTCCTGGAACACTGTATCTTTTGCCCGGCAGGCCCAACTCAGGAACAAGCCAGTGTGTCCCATAGAGAACTTTTTGTTGGCAGTCGTTGGACGCATTACACACAAGAAACGCTGCTACTCTTAGGATCACTTGACCCCGCTTCTCCCTTTTGCATTGCCAACTCGGGCAGGCGTACACTGGCTTTCTTGAAAGCATCAACAGTTGGGAGGCACCTTGGAGGCCTTTTAGCCTTCCTCTGAGTTGCCTGCAGTTTCGCGCACCTCATGTAGGCTTGGAGTCGGTCGGCCCTCTGTTGTGCCTCTAGTGGACGACCAGCTTAATTACAAGTATAGACATTCAAAGGTCCATTATTTAAAGAGCCTGGGACCCAATGTTTAAATGACCACACAGGAAGATAGAGCAACGCGCATCGACTGTCACTGCCGCCACAAATGGTAAATGGGCTTTTCAGTGAAAAAGCCTGTGGAACTCATGCCGCTTATGATTTGCGTACAGTAGCAGATTCTCGCCAGGCAATCAGGAGCTTCCGAATGCCCAAGTACGGCAATAGGAGGACAGACCACAGGGAATATGAACAGCATGGTCGGGGAGGGTGCTCGAGTGTTACATAAGGAGGGCACATGCAACGTGTCTAGACCTCAGTTTTTTGGATATACGTTGCCTTGTGGTGGATATTGTAGTGTAGAAGGGTCGCTTCCTCATGCTGTAATGTCCGTGAGTTGCAACATGGTGTACTTGCCGGGGTGCCTATAGGGGCAATCCCTACTTAGGCCTACCTTATGTTCAGGTTTCAAACTGCATCCAAAAGAGTGATTAAACTTAAAGGGCAGGAAACAACAATTGCCTGCTCTCATACGCAGAGGGAGTACCTAGTACGTACCACCAGGTCGCGGCTGCGGTCGGCAGGGGCTACCGTTGTTGTGGTGAATTCACGGTTACATCGGTCTGATTCTTGTATTTCTGAGGAAACTGCACGTTTACTTTTTGCCCGGTTCACTGCAATTTTCTCTGGCTCTCGTTTTCACTGACAAACTAATGGCGCAGCCTTGATGCTGCGTGCCTTTCCCTCCGTCCGTATGTTGTATTGTGCGGCGAACTGAATATCTGTGCTAGTCTCTACCGTTAGCAGCCTTTCTTCACCCACAGGCAAATGGCCGGCATTCCCCTTCTCTTACTCTTTGAGCCCAGCAAAGTACCCTCGCCGGGCGCTGTATCCGTATCAGCGCGCGGCTCAAGGAAATCATCACCGAGACAGAAGTAACGCCTCTTCCTGGTGCCTCTTTCTGCATGGAAACCAAAGCAAAACGGCCTCTGCTTCTGTCCAGCAGCCTTCATGCTTGTATTGTGACCACTGCTCTGTCCTAGACCCCCAGAGACAGCGCCGCCATCACCCTCATATCATCTTGTCTACAGCCTCTACTTGGCGCTTGTTCCGCTTGCCTTCTCACTTGCCTCGCACAGACTTCTGTACATGATCTGAACTGTCTGTTTCCGTCCGCCAACCCGCAGAGGCCCTCCTCGTTGGCCTCTGCTCTCTGCCTTGCCTCATCAAAGCACCCATCGCGAAGCACGTTCTTCCCAATCCTGAACGCTTTGCGGTAGACAGCTCATTAGTCCTGTGCTCATGGAGCAGGTTGGAAAGGTGCGCAGCGCCACACAGGCGGCAGCAGCTCCCCTCGTTCAAAAGGCATCGGATGGGGTACGTGCGCTGCTGAAGCTGGTGAGCACCGGCGAGAGCAGCTACTTCAAGGAAGGCGACGTACAAGTCAGCCAGATAAAGCAGCAGCTCTCTAGCGCCAACACAGAAACCAAGCTGGTAGGCCTGAGGCGGGCAATCGCGGCAGAGGCGGCATGCGGCTCTGCGGAGTTTGGGGAAGGTTCCTCCTCCTCGTCTCTATTCTTCGCGGATGTCTTGAAGAACCTCTCGACGTCAGACTTCGAGCTGAAACGGCTGGTGTATCTCTACTTGGTGCAGCATGCACATGAGCACCCCGACCTAACGCTGCTGTCCATCAACGGGTATCAGAAGGACCTCTACAGCGCCTCGCATGTGGTGAGGGCTGCCGCTCTGAAGTCTCTCTCCTCCCTCTCCATGCTGGAAATCGTCCAGCTGCTCGTATCAAGCCTCAAACGGGCAGCGGCAGACACTTCGCCTCTTGTCAGGAAGACTGCGGCGCACGCGGCAGCCAAAATTTACTACTTGGATACAGATCAGAGGGAAGAGACTGTCGGGGTCCTGCTACAGCTCTTGGGAGACGGAGAAATAGCTGTCTTGGGTGCAGCTCTCATCTCCTTTCGTCTTATCTTCTTTCAGTCGCTGCTTGCGAAGCAGTCTTCTTCGGAGGCGCCAGGCTTCGACGGGGGACCTCTCGAGCGCCCTTCTTTTGGCAGGGATGGCGATGAGACTACAGGGATTTTTTCTGCAGTGTCTCAACAGGAGGCCTTGGCTCTGTTGCACCCCTTCTACGGGCGGCTCGTTGCGGTTCTGCCGCAGCTACAACCAGCGCCTCAAGTTGTTGCCGTCGATCTCTTGACGCGCTACTGCCGCTGCTTCTTCAGGCAGCCTAGGCCGCTTGAAGGAACTTCCGAGGATACCTCGAACGAGCGAGGCGAGGGGTTGGACGTCGTCGTAGAGGCTTCTCCAGACGGCAGCAGTGCAGGCGCAAAGACGCAGCCGCATCTCTCCTCCCTTTCCTTTTTGACGTCTAGGGGGAGCAGTCTCCAGAGACAGCTCGGAGAAGGGGGGCAGCCTCCCGAGGCAGGCGCGCGGGGGCCTCTTAAGAGACACTATGGGCCTGTGCCAGAGGATTTCGACCGATTTCGTGGCTCGCTCGAGCTGTTACTTGTAAGCGACAGCGTTGCGGTCGTCGTGTCTGCGTGTGCAGCTATCCAGTGCCTGTTTCCTTCGGCATCATGGGACTGTGTGGTGTTGCCGTTGTTGCGTTGTTTGTACACTTGCCCTGTGGACTTCAAGGAGCCTCTCTTGCGCGTGATAGCGTCTTTTGTGTCGGTATGTCCGCGGCTCTTTTATCCTCACTTGCGAGAATTCTACTTGAAACAGTCCGATGCCTTCCCAGTTCGCCAGCAAAAGCTGTCCTTGCTGTATTCTCTGGCGATGGCATATCCCTCCTGCCTCGCTACGCTGCTGCCCGAACTCCGGGTGTACGTCCATTGGGCTGGAGACGAGCAGTTGAGGACCTGTGTATTCCGCTTGCTCACGTTGTTGGCGCTGAGACACAAACAGGCACAGGCCTACTGCATGCGTCTCTTCGTGTCTCTGCTAGACTCCGGCTCCGCCGGTGTTGCAGCGGAGGCTGTCGTGGGAGTCCGCACGTTAGTGCAGCAGAAACAAGACGAGCAGGATGCAGACACTCTGGCGCGCCTTGTGCTGCATCTTGCTGCGCAGCTGTCTAAGATTACATCCCCTCCTGCGAGGGCCTCAGTGGTGTGGGTAGTGGGGAAGCACCACGCACAAGTCTCGTGGGTTGCTGCGGATGCCCTTCGCCAGCTCACCAAGGGCTTCATGGGGGAAGCTGAGGAGGTCAAGCTCCAAATTCTGCTTCTTGCCACGAGACTGTGGGCGTTTCATCTCCAGAATATGCGCGAGGGGCCTGTAGGGGCCGCTCGCGCAGATTCAGAGGAGGCCTCAGTTGAGGAAGCCTCCCCGCAGCACCAGCAACAGAGCGGCGAGCAGCGTCTGATCCCCCCCCCGACAAGGGAGCAGAGTAAGCAGCACTTCCCGCGTCTGGACGCCATGCTGCGCTTTCTGCTCGAGATGGCGGCTTACGATCAAAGCCACGACGTGAGGGACGTGGCTCGGCTGTATGTGGCTCTGACGTCTGCGCTCTCCCGGCCGGAAGTCGCCTTACCCGAGGGTCAGAGAGATATGCGCCGCTTCGCGAATCAGTTCTTGCACAGCCTTTCCTCGTTTGCACCTCCACCGGGTGCCCCAGTCAGAGACCTAGGGAAGCAGCAAACGGAGGAGGGCCTCGCAACGCGGGATGGGGGGGCCCCCCCCCTTTTAAGCCCGCCATCAGGAGCCGACACTGAGTGGCCGTGGAGCTATTTGTCCTTCCACACAGGCCTCGCTCTCCCTGGAGACATCCCTCTCCCTGCGTTCGCTTCAGAGGATTCGGCAGCGTCCTTGCGTCAGAGCCTAACTGAGGACGAAGCTCTGCGCCAGTCATTTTTGTCGCTGGGTGTCAAACCCCCTCCACAGGGAGGCCCCTGTGCGAGCGGGCACAGTCTGACAACTCAGGGTCCCCGATCTATCTGCTCGGCCGACATTATTCGACAGGAGAACGCAGCCACGTTAATGGGAAGGGCAGATGGGGGCAAAACGCCTTTTACAGAGATAGACCTGGATTCTTTCTACGAGAACGACCCCCTTGCGGATCTGGCACATCTGAATGGCACTTCCTCCGCTTCCGCCAACAGTACGGAGTGCACAGGCACCCGTTCTAGTGGCGTGTGCGCCGGGGAGGGGGGCCCCAGCGACTTGCATCATGAGGCCCTCTGGGCTGCATTTGACGGCTCTGGGGAGGCAGGGGCAGACACGGGGATGGGGGTGATGCCCAGCATCACGCCAGTTGGCGGCATTGTGGCAGGAGAGGATGACGAGAGCGAGGACTCTCGACTGCCTTTACAGTCAACTGCAGACACTAGTGGGGGGACCCCACCATCCTGCCCCTTTCAGGCTGACGGCTCCTCGGGGATGCCGACAGATATTTCCGGGAGTGCCAAGGGCCAGGGGTGGGGAATCTCCCCCCCCGTATCCTAAGAAAGCTGACTGGGCTTTTTCGGGCCCCTCTTTTCAAGAGTTATTCTTGACCCTAAACGTGAAAACGGGGGCTCTCTTTCTGAGGCTTCAAATACCTGGAGGGTTCGCTCTGACCGCTGTTTGCTTGTATACGAGGCAGGGGGAGTTCAGGCATCGTGTCTATTTCTGTTGTGTTCTGGGTTAAATTCCGCACAGCCCATATTTTAGATAACCTAAGATAGCATTCGGGTAGATGCCGGAACTGGCTTAACGGTGACCAGTATCAGCACTGTCTTCCACTGTCTTTAGCTGTGCTCGATGAAGCAAACGTAAGCAGAGGCACGAGACTTCGATGCATGTAGGTGCATGCCCCTTGGTATGTGCGAGAAACGTAACTGGCCTTGCCAAGGGGATGGAAAGCGAATCAAGATATACTTGCAGTTTGTCATATCTACGGCAGCCCCGTTACAGGGCACAAAGGTACTCCTGCACCCAGCATCTGCCGCCGTCTGCTGGAGGCCGAAGGGAACACTCTCCTATGTCTACTCATGAAGGGCTGAACTGTTAGGATCCTGACTGGTGTGGTATTCACGGTAAGAGGCCATTATGTGAGTAGAGGAAGCTACGGTTTGCCACCTAGCTGTTCATGAGCTATTTCTTTGTTGAGAGGACGGCTCTGCCATGGAGCTGCCTGCGTTGTGCTTCGAAAGAAACATAACAGGTGCTGGGAAGGGCAGTATACACACTAAGACCTCGCCCTGTTCTTATAAAGTGAGCTGACATAGAAGCAGGAGAAAAGCGCTGTGATGGAACTCAGCTCTCATAGCAGGTTTGCTGGTCCTATTGCTTGTGGCCTGGGCAAGCGGTTGTTGCTATCGCAGGTATACCGGCATTGGCTGCCACTCGCGGGAATTACTGGCAAAAGGTGCCTACAAGCTGAGGGGTTAGGAAACTGCGGGTCTAGAGCAAGAATCAAATCACACCTCTTCAAGGTTTTATGCTTGGTGGGCATGACAGGTCCTCTAAGGGTCGCAGCCCTTTCTGTAGATGACTGTTCTTATCGCATTTGCCTCCCCAAGCTCGCATCTACTCAGACGCCAGTGCTACCAGGCCTGTGTTTGAGCTTCACCACAGTCTAGTGCAAGCTAGGGTGCACTGGCGGTCCGCTGCTATGCAAGGGTTGCTTGGATCCTGGCTATGGCCCGTGCTTCTACGGCCGTTTGCAGGCACATTTATCATTTGCTCACTCCTCAAAAGCAAAACTGCACTAGAACAGGAAGCCGGGGAAATTACTCGTGCCCTCTTCTTGTATGTGAAGTCACCCAAGGCAGCGCAGTGGCAATTCTGCGGAAATGCGACCTTCTGTGACTCCCCCCTGAATTTAGGGGTACACTAAGGCAGATCTCGGCGTCGTCTTCAGTCTAATAGTTGCTATAAAGAGTAATGGCCCTAAATAGTGAGCGGCGGCAGCCGGTGCTGCTGAGGCGGGTACGCAGGGCCCAGAAGGTAGTAAGGTACCTAAACCAGGCGAGCATCCCATAGAAAAGAAAAAGCTTTCTCCGACGCGTATTAATCTAGAATCCCGAATGCACATAGGTAAGAGACTAATGTGCGCGCATCGTTGAAGTCCCTTTTGCACAGACGCAGCACCATCATCATGTAAGGTACCACAGGGGGCTACCACGCCCAGCCCTAAGGCAATTGTCCTTGTGCGTTCAGGTCGAAGAGTTACTTAATGAAATCTGTATCATGCATTTTTTCATGATCCACACAGCTCCAGTGCGATGCACCCTAGTCCGGCCCACTGCAGGCAGACTCCGGGACGCTCCCCAATTAGGCGTCTTCCTTCCTCCAAAGGGCTGTATGCAACTGACCGCAAGCCCTCTCCCTGTGCTCCTCTACTAGCACCATTACTAGCAGGAACTGCAAAGACAAGATCAGCCGGAGCAGCGGGAGCAGCAACGGAAGAGCAAACAGGGGTTGAAGATGACACAGCTGGCCGCCGCAGATTACAGTAACCTGAAGGTCGCAGACTTGCGCAACCTCCTGGCAGAGAAGGGCCTCCCTACAACTGGAAAGAAGGTGCATTAGCCACCCTTGGCAGTAGCACGCCTCTTTACCCCGCTGCGTTAGGCATGGGGCAGACGAACAAGCATAAGGGATTGTGGATTATTGTGAGTGCTGCAGACTGAACTTATCGAGCGGCTCCAGTCCGCTACCCAATCCGTCTCGTCTGTTGATGCGGCGTTGGTGGCCGCTGTCTCCCCAGACACTAGCAGCAACGCGCACGCAGGAACTTCAGCTGAGGATGATTCAGCAGGAGCTGCTGGTGCCCCGCTGTCTGCCGCATTGGGCAGACATCCTGTAGTCAAGCCAGCAAATGGCTTGTCTCCTGATGCCGTTGCTCCCGCCTCTGGAGCGACTTCTGCCGTGTCCTGTGAGCTGCTGTAGTTCAGAAACCTACTTACCCTGGAGCAGATATGTATTGGTCCCGATTGTAGAGCGCCCATAATGCGAGCGAGCCAAGACAACGCCACCCCCACAGTTCTTTTCTCCCTACCTCATCGCTGCATCTTATCTTCCTTAGCTATCTTTTGATAAGCGTGTCCTCGCCTACGCCGCTTGCCGTCTGCTTTTCCGTCTTCGCCGCTCTACTCTTGTGGATCTCCGGCTACTCCCCTGGTAGCTTATTGTATTCTGCCCCCCTTTTGTATGAATCGTCGCCATATGGGGCTATGTGCGATCAGCTATCACGCCTGCCATGAGTGAGGAAGAGAAGCTCGCAGCAAGAAAGGCCAAATTCGGTAGGCCACGCCACGCGCGAGGGATTCGAGGCTGCTATAAGCGCCTATTGCAGAAGCAGCCGTGAGGAAGGTTTCAGGGGCAGGATGCAGAGAGGGTATCAACAGGAGAGCTCAGGACAGACATTAGGGGCAAAGGCGCTCAGAGAGACAGAAACCTACAGTTTGTCTGCTTTAGACGGTTGTTCTGCTTAGGTGAGGATATATATATATGTATGTATATGTATATATGCGGTGGGCAAGGGGCACAAAAATCGTGCAAACAACAGTGGTCGCAGAGCAAACGGTTTTAAAAAAGCGAGAATTTGAGCAGGGCAGGGACGCAGGTAGAGCGGGTATTAGAGAGTCAACGACGGCTACACTAGCAGGATTTAAGGGGTGAACGTTTTACTACTGAGAGATCGAAAGGCCAACGGACGGTATTTTAGAGGTAGAGGCGACTTCGTGTATGATGCCGCTTGCGCAGAGCTGAGTGCCGTTCAGAATGTGTCGTGAAGTCTGCAGATTCGAGTAGAGGGACCTCTGACTATTTGCAAAGGTTTGAGTGTGGTGCCCTTTTTTGTAGGCATCAAAACAGATAAAGATAAACTTCAGGAGAGGGCCAAGCGGTTCGGTTTGTTTGACCCTGCAGTAGAAGAAGAAAAGAAGAAGCAACGCGCTCAACGGTGATCATGCACACCCTTGACCCTTGGAAGCCTCCCTAAACCCGTTCGCTATCCATACTTTGTTGCACCCTCCCGAGTACTCGCAGCTTTCTTTTGACGCCATAGCGGACAGACGCGATTGTAGGGTTAAGAGTCTGGCAGTTTGGTTGTTGGCGCGGTGTACAGCTTCGGCCTTTCTCCATCCAGCGCTGCTGCGAGCACCCAGGTAAGAACGAGTGAAGGTGGACTAGGGTGTAGTGCGTTACTCGAAGTGGTTAGTGGAATGCTTACTTGCGCCGTGGAGAAGGAACGTTTTTATGTGGTGCTTGGGGTAGCTTGCTATGGACATCTTAATATTCTGGCTCCGTAGAAGCTGAAGCTGTCTGCAGCTCGACTTGTTTTGCTCGAATTCGCACAATATTGCACCCATTCACAAGCCCCCTTATGCCGCCCTTCGACCCCCGTAGTCGTGTGGTCTAGTATGGTGGCATTGCTGTTTACGGGATGAGAGGGTGGCAGAAGTATTTGGGAAGACTGGGGCTATTGGTGCGTTTTTCGCGTTCAAGGGAATACTGGGAATGCCAGTCAGCACGGAAGAGGCAGAGAAGAGAAAGAAAAGGGCCGAACGGTTTGGGATTGTTGATGAGGTGCGCTTTCCCCCTTACTGCTGTTTCGTATTCATCTCATTTCTGCTTTAAAGTCATTATTACATTTCACGTGTTGTCCCTGTCGGCCCGCCTCTATAGCCTCTTCCTCCCTCCTTCTGTTCTATGACGTTTTCCCCTGCTTCTTGAGTCGTGCCATATGGTGTCTCTTGCTCCTGAAGCCTTGTTTTCTTTTCAGGAGGAGCGCAAGAGGAAGCGGGCTGAGCGGTTTGGCATCGAGAGCGAGGAGGAAAAGCTGCAGAAGCGGCTCCAGAGATTTGCAGGCAGTGCCACTGCGTAGTCAACAACACTTGATTCTCACGGTCCTTCTTCCTCGCTGACCGATATTACCCGTTAGGGGTGGCGAGAGTTCGAACAAAGGAGGGCTGGCTCTGGAGTTTAGATGAAGGGGTAGAGAAAGGGCGTGCGCCTTTGTGGGTGCCAGACAGGGTAAAGTCCTAGACACCCCGCAACAGATAAACGGACTAAAGGTGACACCAGAACCCAGGCAACGCAGGTTCTTGTCATTTTATCCTGGCGAACTCCGTACATAGATGGTTATGTTTGCGCTAAGAATGTCCAATGGATGGACAGCAGAGATGATCCATCTGCTGCACTTAGCTCCCTTCGTCGTGCCTCGGTTATATTCTCGGTCACTTAACATATATGTTCGTATCCAAATGGATACTGGTGCTCGTATGCCTTATTGCTGCCCACATTGGGGGATTAGTGGCGCTTTCATATGCAACAAATGGCATAGACCGGCGTACAGGAAAGTAGCTCACACAGCAGAGGGCTGCCGCACTCCAGTCCAGAGGGAAGTTACAGCCTTTCATGGATGAGGTTTGTAAAGCCAATTAAGCCAAGAATAGAAATGTAGCACGTAGGGTTGGTGGTGTCGTTTGCTGTGCCACGCTTTAATGGACGTGTCAGTGCCTGAAGCATCGCAGCTTGCGGCTAATGATGGGAGCGTAGGAGCTGATGTTTGAGACCTCTACCTCCGCCTTCAGTCACCCTCCTCTACACATGGAGGCCTTACTGTGTAGTCGACAGGGATTTCTTTGCCACCTTCACATAATAGAGCCTTTTATCGTTTTCGCATAAACGGCATACAGCGGCCGCTACCATTTGCCTATAGCCTTAGTGCCATTAGTGGCACGAAGGCTCTCGTGGCTTGCTGGGTAGCAGTCTAGACCGCGAAAGCCTCGCTGTTCTTTCATGATGAAACCCTTCTCATCCTGCAGCACGGGCAAGTTCTTTTTTTCTAGCTGACGGTACGGCCCAAGAGGGGGGATTTGCTTGCAGGAGAACAAAGCTTCCCTCGCAATTATTACTCCAATATATGACAGCAGCAATTAGTTATTGGCCCGGCTCAGGAATACAACTGAGCGCCATCGAAAAGGACAATGGCAGGCAGGGATTAACGAGCTGTGGGGACTGCTGTTTTGTAGTTGGCGAGGAGTGTCTCACTCTCCCGCCTTGCCAATCTGCAGCCAATAGGGAAGAGCGCACAGCGCAAAGAAGCCAGAATCCCTTAACAGCCACATGCGTTAGGGGTAGTGGCAAAGCCTGGCTTTGGTGGTGTTGCTTGTGTGAAGAAAGGCCGTGTTTAAGGAATGAAAGGTTACTCATCTTGCACCAGCAAGCTACGTATATTAGAGCTGGTAGAACGGCAGTAAAGCCTCACCGTGCGGGTTGGGAGGCGAGAATATCAAATGACCCGGTGCCCAGCGCCATCGGCTTGCCCATGATAATGCATTCGCTGACTCCTTTCACGGGGTCTGACCTGTGATGTACTGCGGCCTCGAAGAGATGTTCATTTGTTTCTTCGAATGAAGCCAAGACTAGAGTGGAAGCTCTCATCTTCTGGATGCCAAAACGATTAATTCCCAAGACTTCGCCTCTGAAATATCAAAGCAAAGTCAAACCTCCAGTAGTCTTGGAACAATGTTGAATGCTGCTGCTTGATGCCTTTAGAGGGACGCTATGCTGAAATGCTTCTCTGCCAGTCCATGGATTGCGCACCGCTAAGACACTGAAGGAATTGTCAGCAAGGGGGGATACTGAAAACTGCTTAAGCATGAATGGTATTTCAAGCGTAGGTAAATATTAGAGTACAGGCGATGAGTGGCGTACAGGACTAATACAATTCAACGTCAAGCTGTAATGCATTTCACTGAAAACGGTGCTCATGGCACACATGTCAGTGGTAGGCAACAGGAGCACAGAAAAGGGAGTGGGTGAGTAATTAATGCGAAAGAGAGAAGTGGACAGCAAAGCGATGCAATAAATACAATTCTGTTGCAAACCTGAAGGTCATGACGTCCCCTAAGAGGGTCATGTGTCGGCAGTCAATGTCCATGGAATACGCGTCCATGCATTTCCTGATCTCCGTTATGATGACTTGGCGCGCTGCCTCTATCCCCAGGATCTAGGAAAATGCAAAAAAGGAAGGATGACATGCTCCTTTTGCCATGATCATAAGCAAGAACTCAGGTAGGTTTAAAAGAAGACGGCCAAAGATGAAGGCCTGTTAAGCGAAATTTCATCCTTTTTGAGAGGCACTTATGAAAACTGGCGGTCACAACTAAAGATAGCAGCTTCATTAGTTAGCCGTTGAGTAGCGCGAAAAGAAATGAAGGGCGCATCTGAAATCAAGGCTGGCCTACCTGAGCAACTTCCATAACATGATTGGAAGTTACGTTCACAGCTCTAACCCCTGGTGTGCCCATAACATCCCTCAGTCCGTAGCCCTCAACGGCCAGGCTGTAGACGTGCTGCACATTGCCGTCTGGCCCCTTAACTTCTTCATGCTTGATGACACCACGCTTTACATCCTTGTAACCGGAGAGCACAACTTCAAGGAGTCCTGAAGCAAAAGACGTAGCTCGAAAAGGGATGCCGTGCATGGTCATGCACTTTAGGTACGGCGTATTGAGAAACCGAACGACAAGTGAGGGCGAGCTACGAGCCACTTAGTGTAGTGGCCGGCAGAAGGGTGAAGAAGACTGTCATTTCATCATGCAGCCACTCATATAAAAAATCAAACAAGCCAAACAACATGAAGGCAAAGGACAACGAGAACGGAAAAAATGCCTTCACGCGTGATTTCTGCAGGAAAAAACACAGCCTATTCAAAGACAAGTAAAAAAGAGTACAAGCAAAAGCGATAGGCGCCCAGGCACATGCAAAGCGTTGCCACTTACCAGCTTTAAGCGCCTGAAGCTGGAAAAAGATTTGATCTCCTCCCGGTGGTAGCACCCGCAACTTCCATTCATTCACTACTTCGACGCAATTCTTTGTTAAACGCACTTTGTTGATCATTGTGTGTCGCAAAATCGCGTCCTTCACCTGTACCAGTCAGAGGAAACTTCAGATAAAGGTACAACCCGCAAGTCAACCAACTACTGATTCAATCAGGATGCACAATGTACAGCAGCAAACAGCACAAAATGCGAAAATACGCACATGAACATAGACACGATCTCTGCGAGCAACCCTATAAATGGGATAACTCTAATTCACGTGCAACGGACTACAGTTGTGTTGGCCCCGCTTGTCGGCCATGCCGCCGCCTACACATAGTCATGTTTTCATGTATTCGCTCGTGTTGATGCAGTTGCTTATAGGTCGTGTCAGCTGTCTTTTCCCTCCGTTTTCACTGCTACGGGGCTTTTTTTGACACTTGTAGCGACCGCACAGAGCTCCTTGAGCGCATGGCTACTAGTTTTGCCCTCAGGCCGAACACTGTTATTTCGGACTCCGAGTTTTACGCTGAACTGACCTTTTCGGCACTAATATCCAAGAAGAGTGTGCGGATAGTATGCGCGTCAAGTTTGATGCTGAGCCAGGCTCCTTCAGGCGTGTACGTTTCTTTGATGTACGAGCAGCATTCGCTCAAAAGGGTTTTCTCTATTCGATTCTTAACCAGGACGGCGTAGTTGTAATCTGAATTGTTTAGCAGAGGAGCTTCAATAATTGGGGTCTGAATCTTCAATGCCGCGTTAATAATCTCCTTGATCCGCGGGACACCGAGTGTGACGTTCATCGATGCGACGCCTGAAGAATCGCCCCAGGAATGCAGTGAGGGAAAACCCGAGAAGTGTGAGCGAGGACAGATAACCAGAAGCACACAGAGAGGCTAAGAAACTCACGAGCACAGTAAAGCACAGTAAATAATGACATGGTGCACAGTATTGCTATTCCGAATTACCAAGCAGGGGAAAGCGACCGAAGACCATTCTGAGCCAGTTTTGATGCAATAATTTCGCGTACACATACCAATAGGCATTCAAAACCACCAATAAGCGTAAAATATGCTAGATTCTAGTGTATGAACCCGATGAAAAGCAGCAAGAAGAACCCCGAGGTACATTTGTCGCATTCACTACAAATCCACCCACGTCAACTTGCATGCAACTCCCTGAGGCTTTCAGACCGTACGCCAACCTTCGCTCTAGCAGCCGCACCATGCGAGACCCTTACCAGCAAAATGAAACGTCTTAAGAGTCATCTGGGTACCAGGCTCTCCTATGGACTGTGCCCCCATGGCCCCGACTGCCTCCCCTGGCTCGCTGATGGCTCGTTGGTACTTGCGCCAACTGCACCGTAGAAACTCGAAAATGTGCCGTGCTGTCACCCAGTAATGTCTGTTGAACTTCCATAGACGGAAGTGTGCGCAGGTAGCCTTCACCAAGCCTTCAGCAACCACATGCACATTAGCGACCTCGCCTGGGGGGCAGCTGGGGTCTACATCAGCGTTGTTTCTGTGTCCCATGATCCAGCAGCGCCTTTGGACACCAAAGCCCGCTTGCCGCCAATCCGATAGGGTCGCTTGAAAGCTCTCAGATGTGAGCGCCTCTTTCTCTCCGTCATTGTTCCTATACTTCGCAACGTCTTGGGCTTTGGCAGTAAGCCACTCACGAAGCTCCTCCTTGAAGACTCGCACCTTTTCCGTGCCCGCTTGGTGGGTTTCAGCCTCCCCAAGAGCGACCCCCTGATGGTAGAAAAGCTGCTGCGAGATAACCTCTCCCATAAGCTCTACAAGAAAGTGCGTCCAGCAGAGGATCTCATATGGCAACAAGGGTAAGTCTCGCTTCTCACGTGGCAGCCACTCGTACACCGCAAGATGGGCTCGTAAGTAATTGTGTGCTTGCTGAGCCAGAGGATCGCTACAAGACGCGTCTTGCTGGTGCTTCGGCGGTCGTTGCTGCTGACGCTGGGATGCGCGCCATCGACGCCAGAGGCCCAGTTTGTGTCTACAGGTCTCAGGCAGACGGCCCCACAGTTCCCGTTCTGCTGCGGTTGTTTCCTCTGATGTCACACGGCAAGAATGCAAACCAGGTCAGAGCCGAGACGTCGCTGTGCATTATCTTAAACAACACACTGCAGTGCAAAATAGCGAGTTGGGGGTTGGAACAGAAACACAGACCTAAACGCTGAATGCTTACCTGCGCACGTCGAAGGCTCCCCAGCCGCCTCAGCATCTGCAGCCTCTGCCATTTCCAAAAGCGTCTGCACGCTTGCGGGGTCTGAGGGTGGCAGCACGACGTCGGGGTCTGTTTCGCTGGGTGCCCATCTGGAGCACTTCTGGCTCGGAGGCCCCCGGTTAAACGCCTTTGGCTGGTCTTGGCTGAGGAGAGCCTGTGCGTTCACGTGATTGGGGAGGAAAGGGAGTTTGATCATTGCCGATACGTGCTGAAAGACCTTATCGAAGTTTGCGGGCCTGTTCTTGTCTTCCATCATAATCGGGTTCAGGCCATCATCACCATACACAAATTGAACGATTTGACCATCACTCGTTCGGACGGTGTGATCATATTTTATGGAGAGGTCCTCCAGGGCCTGAAACAGCGAAGACAGAGACAGTTAGAGAGAGAGAGAGAAAGGCGTGAAAGATACAGTTACGAAAGGAGGATGCAATAGACTGCATTCCCGGTTCTATAGTTCTTTCAACTAGAAGGAAGAAGTAGGCTCCTCAAAAACCAGTAATATCTGATACAGCTCTTTTTTGCACTTTCCCAATGCCCCCTGCCCCTGCCTCGGCACTTCTCTGCCTCATGAAATTCCTATTAGCTTGTAAAGAGTACAGCAGGAAGCGAAGCAAGTGGAGTGGCCTCTGGGCGGCCCAGAAAAATTCTTCCCTCCTCCGGCATCTTGCTGATGACTCCCCTTACCTTCATGAGGCGTCGCTGCATGTAACCTGTCTCTGCGGTTTTGACAGCAGTATCCACCAGCCCTTCTCTGCCAGACATTGTGTGAAAGAAGAACTCGTCTGGATCGAGGCCGCTGTAAAAGGAGTTGGCCACGAAGCCCCTGCTTTTGGCATCCTTGCAGTCCATAGGAAAGTGCGGGAGCGTACGCGAAACGAAGCCGTTGGTGATCCTCTGTCCTGAGACATTCTGCTGCCCTACACAGGCGATCATCTGTGCAATGTTGATGAGGGCCCCTTTAGCTCCTGACTGGAACATTACCACTGGCTTGTTGAGGGGCTTCAACATCTGGTTACAGACCTTGCCGGCCTCATTCCGAAGATCGTCTAGAATCCGCTTGACACGCACCTCCAAAGTCTGCTCTAGAGTACAGCCTGGATGCGGCTGCATGGCGCCCCTCCTGAAAAGCTTGATTTCCTCATCCACTTGCTTGTAACCCTCCTCCAGCAGATTCTGCTTAGCTGCCACAAGTTCCGGCCCCGGCGTTACATCGTCTATTCCGATTGTAAACCCGTAAGACGCAAACCAACGTGCGCACAAGCGCGCCACTCGGCCCATGCACGCTGCCGCCAGACTCTCCGAGTTGTCGCGAATCAAGTGGAAGAACAGACCGTGCTTTGCGTCCTAAGCAAGCATCCACATGTATACATATATATATGTATATATAAGTACATATATATCGATTAACACATGTACATATATCCCAATGCACATATATGCGCAGATATGTATTTGTATATGTACACAAAGCAACAGAAGCAAGCAGGCAAGAGACACACGCGAGAAAACCCACGAAAAAGCGACGCGCGGATAGAGGGCGGACCGCGAAGCGCTTTAGGCCCCTACCGGGCGAGACGTGAGGAGAGGCCTACCCCAAGAACTTTCTTGCCAATGCAGCCGGCGAGTAGCTCGGACTGTCGGAATACAACGTACGCGTCTCTAGGACACATGAACGGGGGGGCCCCATGAGGCACGGCTTGTGGCGAGAACTCTCTTTCCTTAACCTCGAAGTTGAGCATGACCCTGCAGCTGCGGTTCGGCCTGAGGAGCACGTTGATGACCTGCTTCCCCGTCCACAGTTCCTCGGGATACAGAATAGCGGGGGGTGGGAGGTCGACACGAACGACTCCATCCGTGAAGGACGAGCAGACTTGGCAGAAGGCGGCACGGGAAAAAAAGGTGTCTTTGTGCGTCAGGAGGTAGCAGCCCGAGAGGAAGTCTTGTGTGGCTGCAATAAGCGGCTCCCCATTCTTAGGCGTTACCAAGTTCCTGACGACCCCCATGAGATGCAGCGCCTCAGCACGCGCCTCCTGAGTCTGGGGCAAGTGTAAGTTCATCTCGTCCCCGTCGAAGTCCGCATTATACGGAGAACACACGCATTCGTTGAAACGAAAGGTCCTCCATGGCATTACCCGAGCCCTGTGGGCCATGATGCTCACACGGTGCAGAGAGGGCTGTCGATTGAAGAGAACAACGTCGCCGTTGTGGAGGTGGCGCTCTACTGTATCCCCGATTTGCAGGTTCTCCGCTACCAGTCGCCGATTCGCGTACCTCAGGCTGCACTTAGCCCCGTCTGCTTTGTTGACATAGGAGGCCCCTGGCCACTCATCGCATCCCCTAAGAACTGCGGCCCTCAGCCTTGGGAGACTCGCAGCGCAAACCTTTTCGGGAAACGTCAGGCGCTTAGCAACCCACTCTGGCACGACGACCTCGAAGACATCCACATTGGGGTCTGGAGATATGACGGTGCGGCCTGAGAAGTCTACTCTTTTCCCGGAGAGATTTCCTCTGAAACGGCCTTCCTTGCCCTTAAGACGCTGACAAATCCCTCGTCCTGCTTTTGTGATGTTTTTCGACGCGAGCAGCTGCGAAACGGCGGGGGCCTCGGAGTTGATGAGCCGTGTGCACTGCAGCTGCAAGAATTCCCACAGACCCAAAAATTGTGTTGTATGGAAGCCGGACGCCGCGTGGCTGCGAAGCACATTATTCAACTCCATGATATCCGCTAAAACGCATGTCAAATCGTCTTCGTTGGACCCCTGCTCCCCAATGGTCACCGAGGGACGAATGCAATTGGGGGGGATCAGCAGGTGCTGAATGAGCATCTTCTCTGGCGCCACGATATCCAACACCTCGCAGTCCGAGGGGCGCATACGCCTAAGCAGATTTTGGACAAAAAGCGGGTGAAGATCCTCTTCTGTGACCATCGCTCGGCCCTCCTTGTTCTTGACCACATGTCTTATCTTGAGAAACTGATCCAACAGGGGCCTCACGATCCGCTTAAGGACGCCTTGGGGGGCCTCGCATTCAGGGCACCTTGTGGTCTTCTTACAGGCCTCCACGGTGCGTCTGAAGAGAACGCGCTTCATGATGGGGTCGTCTTTAAACCGCCGCATGCGCATAAGCGTCCTCGCCTTCGCCTCTGGCGACAGCAGAAGGGTGCCGCAGCGCTTGCAGAGGCAGTACAGGATCTGCAGGATATACTTGAAGTACCCACAGTGAAAAACGGGAACTTCGAGGCGCGCGTGCCCCCAGTGACCAGCGCACTGGAGGATTGAGCGGCCACAGGTTTGGCAGGCTGCATCGCTGCGATTTGGTCCTGCAACAGAAAAGGCGCCACAGCACGCTCGAGACAGATATTTGACGGGTTATTCCCTGAGAAGGGGCATGCATGCAGAGATGACGTGGATTCAAGGAGGCTCCACGAAGATGGGGGTCGGCAAGCATTTCGGATGCGAAAACTCCACGGGAGAGCACGGAGAACGGGCAGACGACGATGCCGGATGCAGAAGTGGGGACAAGCAAAGCAAAGCAGGTCGGGGATGCTACAATCGTGCAAGAACCGAGATGCCGGTGTACTTTCAAGAACGCGTTGTTGCGACTGTGCGTGTGGACGTCTGCTAGTTCATGCCCTGCCCTCCTCTCGAGGGCAAAGCCAGCAGAGAAAGGGCCTCTTGCCAGCAGCACTCCGTTGCGTTGCTCACCCAGTCTGAGGTCAAGAACTCCAAAAGGATGCGGCGTGCTCGTCATGTGGACGTACAGCTCCCTATTGACGACCTCGAGCTGCGATAGCTGAGATATTTCGGTGCTCCCTAGAACGTCAAATTGCACACCCGACACTTCATATGCACCGTCGGTCTCGCTGGCGCCGCTCTTCATCAAAACTGCGCGTCTCACAGCCACGCTACTCATGAGCGTTCGCATGGCCTCGGACTGCGCTGCAGGTTGGTCAAGAGTGGTGTAACCCTCGAAATCTTCGGAGCTTGTGCCCCCTGGGGCGATTCCCTGAAGATTTGGAGCCTCGACTGAGTTCACAGAGGCCTCATCCGCGCAGGCGTCCTCCACATCGACTTCCATTTCTGTGGAATGGAGTGCCATCGTCGAAACACGCGCACGGAGCCCCCTGTGAGCGGGTTCAAAAGGTCCTATGGCACCCCCAAAATAGGGGATGGGAAGGATGGCGAGCTTCGGGGGAACTTTTACCCCACGCTGCGCATCTTCTTAGGCCCCATAAAGCCTCCAAGATCCAGCAGGAGCAGCACAAACAAAACTGCTGCCGCACCAAGGGGAGAGAGAGTGAAGGGGCGGATGAGGCCTTAGGGCCTTACCCTTTGGGCTCCCCGTGCAGCCACGGAGATCCCTGGGTTTCTCACGCACGGCTTCAAATACCGCCTCCTGCAATAAACTGAAGACAAGGAATTTGATTTTGACTTCTCGCTGGCTACCGAAGGAAGCTGTAAAGCTGTTAAAGCCGTCGCCTTTTACGGAACAGGCTTCGGGCCCGCTGGAAGGGCGGCGGGAGATTCGATATGCATGAGCAGCTGAGTAGAGGCAAACCTTCCTGAAAGATACAGTGCATATACAAGCAGCGCGAGGGGAAAAGCAAGCAAAGCGGCATTGGAGGCAAAGCATGTATGCAGGGGCCCCCGTCGGGGGCCCCCTCTCTGAATGCGGGCTGCCCCAACGGCAGTAGGTAGTGGGGGGCCCCACGCAGGGGTCTTCTGCTGCTTGCTGCGTCCCCTGCGCCGCTAGATGCAAAGTCTTTGACTACATACTACTGCTTTTCAGCTGAGGAAAGGCTTTTTAGGCTCGCTCATAGCTGCAGTTCGCCCTATTTGGTAGCCGTTTTCTCTCGGCCAGACGGACTTGGTGCAACACCTCGTGTACAGCACCCCCTCTCCGGTGTTTATACGGCGCTCTCCTAGGATCTCTTCCAATGCCTGCGTAGCATTTCCGTGCCTGTGCTTGAATTTAAGGGCTTTAATTCCCTTCGGCAGCCAAGGGGGGTCCCTAGGGGCCCCCAGGCCCCTAGCACCCCCCTCCGTGCCCGTGCATTCCTCTTTCGCCATCTACGGATGAGGGGCCCTTCCGACATGAATGCAATGGGTACAGGCGCCACGCAGAGCTCTCCGGGGCCTCCTTGGCGAGGAAACGGGGGCCCACCTGCCGCGGGGGAGGCCCCCCGCAAAGCTGCAGGTGCCCCTGCAGCTCCTCGTCTATCTGCTGTAGAGCGACCTCCCCCTACAGCCCTTCGCTCTGCCGCTGAATGCAGGTAAGAGGAGCGGCTTCGAGGGGTTTACTCCAGAGGCTCGCGTGGTGGCGCTTGCAGTAAATTGAACCTGAAAGATCGAGGCTTGGGGCCCCCGAGCAGAGGAGAGCCCTCCTCTCATCCCCACCCCTCCACTTGCTGCCTTGGCTGCTATTCTGCTGCTTCTGCTGCTGCACGCCTCGACTACTCGGGTATGTATCTATGTGTATCCCATCTGTTCGCTTCTTTTATGTGTCGCTTCTTTCTTTGCAGCGGAAATGAGCTGTTCTCATACATCTTGTCCCTACCCTCTCCCGTGCCGCAGTCACTCCTGGCGTCTCCCCTGGGATGCTGCTGCTGCTTTCGCACCCTCAGCGTCTTCGATAGGCACGTGTTGCTGCGGCTGCTGCCTCTGCAGCAGTCTGTCTCCGAGAGAGCCATGCGCCTGTGGGTCTCCCCTAGCAGCGTTGCTGAGCTCAGGAGGGCATTACAGCGCCTCACTGCTGCGCGATTCATTCGAGCTATCGAGCCAGCACCTCCCCCGATCCCGTTAACGGCTTCTGAGGCTGGAAGTACTCCTGCAGATGCAGCTGGGGACGGTAAGCCAGCTGCGCGAGGGGCACTTAAGCCGCAAGCCCTCAGCAGCACGGCCAGCTCCACCACAAAGCAGCAGCAGCGGCTCACGCAGTATGCACTGACCCCTGCATTTCGGAAAACACTCCTGCAACTCCTCCTGGAAGGGCCTCCAAGGGCCCCCCTGCCCTTCCTTGTGCTCCCCCGTAGGGAGGCGTTCCCCTCCAAACAGGTGCTGCTGCTGCACAGTCAGAGACAGTGGGAACGGCTGCTGCAATTCGTTGTTAGAGCCTCGGAAAGAGGTTCGCAGGGGCGCAACAACCCGGATGGACCCTCCCCAGATCTCCTGGCAGTAAGTCCTCGATCGGTGATTGCTTTTCCCGAGATCCCTCCTTCCGTGTCGCGTAGCAGGTTCTGTGGCAACGTGATCGTTCAAAGGAAGCGATGACGAGCGTTTCGTTTGGGGATGTTTCACGCCCTTCAGATCCTCCGTCGCAAGCGGCTGCTGTGTCGAGAGAGCACCTCCAAGAGTTCGATGCAGCAGCAGCAACAACTGCAGCAACAACTGCAGCAGCAGCAGCAGTACTTCCCAGGTACCCCGGGGAATACCACCACGAGCAGCAGCAGCAGCAGCAGCAGCAGCAGCAGCAGCAGCAGCAGCGGAACGGGAGGCCCCGACTACGTAATGGCACGAGAAGCGTTTTCCTGGTTGTTAAAGGATTTAAGGGCCCAGCTGTGCTCTCTGTTGCACGAGTTTCTTTATCTCATTGATGGGGGCCTGCTCAGTAACGCTGCCCATGAAGCAGCTCTACGGAGCAGTGTCGGCAGCAGCAGCAGCAAAAGGAGTTCTAAGAGGGCACACAGCAGCAGCAGCAGCAGCGCGAATAGCAGCAGGCCGGGAACAGGCGCAGAGGGGGAGGTGGAATCTCCTGCAGGAGCATCTGCAGCTCTCCTGGAGGCTACACAGCAAGACGTGCGTCGCTCTTTCGTTTTTCCCGCTGGTGGCAGCTGGACCCTCTATGGGTGCTTGGTGGAGTCTTTGAACAAACGCCCCTACGGGAAAACTGGGAGGTTCTACTCTGTTTGCTGCTGCTCTTGGGTAAGGCTCTGCCCTAACTTGCCGCGTTTCATGGCCTTTTCTTTGCTGCTTTTTCCCTCCCGGTGTCTCCGCTCAGATGGAAGAAACCTTGTTGCTGCTGACGGCGATGGCGGAGAGCTGCATTGGGCAGCCTTTTTCGCTTGCCCACATCACACCGCCTCAACGCCGTCTGATGAGTCTCTGCATTGACTTGGGCATTGCCTGGGCCCCTCCGGGGGCCCTCCGCGCCTCGGGAGCCGCAGGAACCTCCGGGAAGGAAAAAGGCAAGAATAAGGTGTCTGTACAGCAGCAGAAGACCAGCCCCTTGCCGGAGGGTGCCTTATACGCTTTTGCAGCTCCGTATGCACTTCTTATTCGGAAGGATGATCATAATCAGCATGATGCCCTAGTTCACCACGGGGGCTTCCAGTCCAGGAGAACGAGGGTGGGTACTCCTCGTGAAACAGAAGACAAGCCTATGGGTAGCCAGCAGGGGAACCCACGCTCCGCAGCCTCTTCTGTTTTAGAAGGGCCCTTTCATCCGTGGCTCGCATCGGAGAGCAAGTAGGCACACGCATCCCTCGAGCTTGATGCTGAATGCAACCTTCCTGCGCGCGCTGCTGTCAACTTCCCCGCCAGCGGTGTTTCTAGCGAGCTGTTGCCTTTGCTCTCCTTGGCGATTGCTGCTGCTGCTGGGGTGCGACGGATATGGCCGCCTGGGTATTGAACGTTCGGCAACGACAACAACATCAGCATGCGTGTGCTTTGCGACTTTTTTGTGGATTCACTTTCAGGGTGAGTGATGTATCACTGGAGGGTGCTGCTCGCTTGACACCCTCCATTTCTGCCTTTGGATCTTTGGGGCTACAGCCAGCCATCCTAGTGGAAACAAACTTCAAAGTCTACATGTACACCGCATCGCCTTTGCATGTATCTGTATTGTCGCATTTGTGCGAGCTTACCGCCCGCCTGCCGAACCTGGTAGTGGGACTGTTGACGAGGGCCTCCGTGTTAGGAGCTCTCAAGGCTGGAATCAGTGCAGAGCAGATCATTGGCTTCCTAGAAGCCCATGCGCATGCGGTGGCGCTGGAAAAAAAAGCGAAGCACAACAAGCCCATCATCCCCGAAAACGTGGCGATCCAGCTACGCATGTGGCAACAGGAGCGGCAACGTCTCTCGCTTATCCCCTCTGTTGTTTTTAAAGGATGGGATGCCTCTCTTCTTCCTGAGCTCTTCCAGAGAAGTGTCAGGTGGGCAGTCGCGAAGAACTGCGCTGTCCACTACACCATGTGGCCTGAAGATCCACAGAGCCCTGAGTTCGCTCGGTGGATGGCTGCAGAGAAGTACCTCGCGGTGCATGCGGATTCAAAACCAGAGATTGTGGCACGCATCAGAGAAATCCGAGATGAACTCATGGCGCAACGGGCCGGAGGACCCCCATCCTGAAAAAGGGGCCTTTTGGAGAAAGAAGACTTACATGCAGAAGGGGGGTCTTCCTGTTTCACACGCAGTTGAGGGTGCCTGTATGTGTGGCCTGATTTTCGCTGGCCGCTCGCGTGTGCGGAGGTTACAACAGACCTTGAGGGCTCTCCGTTTGTGCTACACTGCCTTCAAATTCTGCCTCACACCTATTCCCCTCCCAGCCCAAAGGTCCCTAAATAGACTAGGACCGACAAGTTTAGCTTTGCGGTGATATGCCTGCTTCCACAGTACGGCCGCTGGTGGGTCGAAAAAGAAGCAGTTCATTAGCTGCTTGTTAGCGAGAGTGGCGCTTGGTAGAAGAGACGTAGAGGTTGCAATCCGGAGCTCGCCTGTAGTGCAGCGGCCACTTTCGCGTGTACAGGTTAGGCTTGGAGGGACGTAAAGCGATGAGCGGCTCAGAACTGTGGCTATTGTCACCGCCCCTTTGAGGAGATTAGCCTACGTCAACCTACCCTCTCAACGACAGTTTCATGCTTGTTCGGGGTGAAGAAGGCATCTGGGAAGCTACGTGCCGCAGTAGGCGCAGAAAACGTACTGGCCCTTCCTTCTCCAAATATGCTGCTACTACGTTTCTCAATTCACGAGAGGAGCACACCAAGGAAACCGCCCCACTGCTCCCGCCGCCGCTGCTGCTGTGGCTGTCCATACTGTTGCCTCCAGAGCTGTCGTTTGTAGACCACTGATAAATTCCGAATACTCAAGCAAGAGAGTGGCTCTTGCTTTACGCAAGCGAGGCAGCAGCAAAGGCTTCTGATTGAATAACTATATATAGAGCGAAATCGCAAGATGTTCGCTGCAGCGGGGTCGGCACGCAAATCCACCACTGGGCAACGGCCCCATAGTTTTACTATGCATACACATAGGCAGAAGCTCACAACCTCGTACAGCGAACGCGGCCGCTGCTTGCCCAGCTGCGATGGGTAACAGCAATTGGTGCTCCTATGGTCAGACTATCGCGCATTGCCAAAAATGTCGGGTCCCCAGATGTAGCGGGCACCGCTGCTTCACTTTGGTACCTTCTACGACGCGTGTTATGTGCAATTATGAGTTTTAAGAACTCGTCTTCTTAGTTTGCTTGCTAATGTGTTTTATCTACTGCAGAGCACTATTAACTCGATACGCTTCGACGCACTGCTATATGCTTGTGCTCTAGATACTATGTGCAACTAGCAGCGAGTGCTCGGAGTGCGTATGGGGAGCAGCTACGCAAGCCCAACCTGTCCCTCTCCCCTTGTGTTGGGGAATTTGAGGGGCACCAGCGGGGGAATGAGAGCGCTAGTTCAAAATGACACTGGCTAGCTGTCCATTAAGTTTTTTTCGTCTCTGGATTCGAATGGCACCCTGCGGAGACCCTGGATGAAGGGTAGACATACTCTCTGCTCCGTTCGGTAGGACCCCAGACTGTGTTGTTTTTGCGCTATGTCACTGTGCGATTAAGTGCCTACGATTGCTATTATTGTATGCTGTAGCTGTATACACGCCAGCCTTCCTTCCTCGCAGTCCTTAGCGCTGTGGGTTGACAGGAAGAAGGACAGTGGTGTGGAAGGACTTTTATTTCGTTTGATTCTAAAAGCGATAAGATTTTGAAGCTCAGGATCTTTGTGCAATTGCCCTAGAATGGCGTTTGCAATCTTTAACCCTGGATTAGAGTTTCGGGCATTAGGTTCTGAATGCATGATAATCTGCAAGGTTGCGTTTTCTCGTGATTTATGCGTGCACTCAGGCTTCTTGAGTATTCTGTGATAGGTCTCCTTTGCCTTCTATATGTGCCTTTGAGTACTGTCTGCTGCTGTGACTGGTTACCGCAGTGCGAGCTGATGCCTAGGGCGTCTCACAGAAAGCTTTCTGCCACCTTATCCAGAGCTCGAACCCTTTGGACTCATTCACACGAGGTATGGATCGTCCAGCCACTAAATCCTATAGAGAGTGTCGTACTGTCCTAAGTGGGCCTCGTAGCCTGGGGGTGGCGGATTCCCCCTCGTGGTATAGAAGGGTCCCCTGTAACGTGTAGGGCATGGATCGTCTTTTTGAGGCTACACTTCCTGTACGGGGCTAGCAAACCTAAAACGGAATGATTCACTAGCGAACAATAGCGACAGCTGCTTTTCGGAGTAAGATGGATTGCTTTACTCCCTCGAACTGTGTCAGTCTTCAAAATATGCCCTACATAGTTGCTTAGGCAATGCCCTCCTAGCCTTCATGCATTGCCTATGTGCAGGCCTGTCCTATTCGGAACATTTCGCTAGCTAGCTAGAGATGAGTCGGTTCTTATAAACACAGTAGGTACACTCCAGCGCAAAGACAGCTGTATCTTTACCTTCGCTGGCAGAAAAAAAGACACAAGCGTAGCGATAGGGTTCCACGGAGGGATACCCTTGGGACACCCCGTGCGACCCACCCAGTACCTGTAGAGAAAACCTGTAAGAACTTGAATTATACGAAGGGCCCAAAAGGGGGCCCACCAACTGCAGCATCCCTTGAAGCCTAAGGTCCTGGCTACTGCCCAAATCACCTGAAACAAGCACCCTTCCTCTGTTGGTGTTCCAGAACGGGGCTTACTGACGTTTGGCTCTTCAGAGGTAGACGGTCTGAAGTGCCATTAAAGGGCCTTCACGTGTGGTGTTCAGAGGATACTGCGGTCCTCAGTCTCTGCTGTTGGGGCCCCTGACACCCCTACCTGTGATATTCGCACAGGGGTCCCGCATTGGGGGGCCCCCTGGAAGACTTGCTGTACCTTTTCGATATCTGTGGTTCATTTGTGTTTCTTGTGTACGGCGGTTTGCAGTACAAAGAGGGCCGCGGAGTCCTCTTAGGTCTCCTGAGAAAATTTTGGCTTCCCCACTGCACTGGAAAGTAAGGAGCAGACTGCTGGCGGGTTGGGGCACCTGACACACGAGACTGAAGAAATGAAAGAGAGGGCCTGTCGAGATGGCCGCCAATATTATGTCGGCTTTCCCATGAGATTCTGTGTTCCCTCCCTACTGGGGGGTTTATCCCTGCGACGTGGGATACCATGGAGTGGAGATCCCCACCAGAGCCTCCTCAGGTCAAAGCGATCAGTGGGTGTGAGTGGAGCTGTCTTCATGCATGCATGCTTCAGCGCACTGCTGTGCAACCGTGCCCCATCCCCCCTCCCCTCCCCCACACGCTTGCGTTTTCGCTTCCTTTTCGAGACCCCGTGCTCCTCTGGCGGCGAAGGGCGATTGTCCTCTACACATATACACCACTTTTTATGATCATGAAAAGACACACCACAGCGGGGGCACCACCTGCGCGCATGAACGGCGGCCCACTCTCATTGTATGCGCGGTCTTCTACATATAAAAAGCCGTGGCACTGAAAGCCGGGCAGCAGAAGAAGCATGTAAAGGAGCCCGCTTTCTGCCCCCCTAAAAGAGTACACGTATACACATACCTAGGAGTAAATGCTACCATTCAAGAAGAAATTGCGGAGAGTGATGGGCACCTGCAGTCGGTACAGCAGAATGATCCGACTCAGCAGCAAGGAGCATACAACAACAGTCGGCACGGTGATCGCCACCAGAAGCTGTACCGGGTCCACAGGGAAGACCAGCAGAAAGTCCTCTCGCAGTGAGTGCGACAATCCGGAGAGTGCAGACACCCCGAAGGGAATAAGGAAAAAGCGAACAATAATCCTGCGCGAAGCATTGATACACACAAACATAGCCGGACTTTTAAGAAGACTCAGATTGTACTCGTAAGGTCACGAGGGGTAGGAATCTCGCTGATTCTTTGCATTTAAGTGTCTAGTGCCTCGTGCATGTGAGCCTGTCCACGGCGATCGTCCCCTTGGCGCTAAGAGCGGTGCATGAGTGGAGCGGCTTTTCTTTTCATTGGCGAAGATTCACTCAACACACGCTTGTTCTATAGTATGGCTTAGGCAAATACATGGTGCGCCGTGTGCGGTTTCAGATTTGGAACTAGAGTAGATTGGGGGCGTCTGCGCAGGCATTTTTCCAGTTTTTGAGGGTTAGTCGGCCACGTTGTGCATTGGTTGTGTTCAGCAACGTCTGTGCATTTCAGAGCGCGGTGTATTACTGCATGGGTTCTGAGTCTGAGGGTCTGGAGCTAGTGATTCACTGACCCGACATCTGGGTATCCTCGGTACATGATAGCCCTATACGCGTTTGCATTCAGGCCCACACCGACGAGGGCCCCCGCGACGAGAGCACTGAGCCACACTCTGCTCTTTACTTTGTGTGCAGTGAGAGAAACGATGACCAGAAAGTAGGCGAAGTACACCCACAAGATCATGAAGGGCAACTCTGTTAGCTCCAGCAACTGCCGACTGAGACGGGAGAGACCGTACGGATTGTAAGGCACGTAGCCTGACTGAAGGCGCCGTTGAGGAGGGGGGAGAGGGCCTTTCAAGGGGCCCTCTGCGCTTGCTGCTGTAGCCTGACAAATGGGGGCCCCATCTAGTGCGAGGGTCTCCCGTACCCCGACTATGCAAACGTTGGCAACCCCGCTGCTTTCCCTGTTCTTGTTGCTGTTCTCCTCAGAAAAACAGCGAACCGGTGGAAAGCTGTTGGCGGGAGGTTCAGGGGCCTCTGTGGCTGCTGCTGCCGCTGCAGCAAGGCACAAGGGCATCGTCGATACACGCAAAAAAGGACAAGTCGATGTGCGGATGAGAACACAAGAGGCACGCGACAGGGCCCAGGAAAACTTGTGCATCCAAGAAGAAGAACAACAGCAGCAAAGGCCTGTGCTTCCTATGGGGCTTCCACTTACTCCAACGTCTCACCCTCCCCCCTCCCCTCGTCTGCAGTTCTTTGTTCGCAGCTTTCTGCCCATCGCTGGCTGCACCGAATGCAAGATCTGTGGTTCGCTTCCAATCTATCTGCCGTCTAATGGCAGTCTGACCCCTAAGGACGATGACAGCCATAGCTCTGAGCCGGTTACTGCCTACACCCACTCGTGTAGAGCATGCATGCAGGAGCAATAGCTAGCAGCTTAAGGGTCACGCGGGGAGCAAGTGGAGCGCTTGGCGTCTTACAGTCATCCCTGGAGTCTGAGGGAGCAGTGGCCGCCTCTGAACATTCAGTTCTGAGCTCCATGGAGCACATCAGAGGAACGGGGTTCTTGTTTTGCTCGGAATCCATCTGGGTAGGGCCCTATGGGTGGGGAGGAAGGGGCCCTAAGGCCTCATGCGTCTGAGCGCGATGCCCAGACCTTCTATTCCCCTGACACCTTATGAAGGCAAGATACCCCTGCGACATTAAGAACGGGGGCCCCTTGCGCAGCACGCGACCTGCACTCCTGCGAGGCCCTAGAACTGCCGTACCACTCAGGGGCGAAAACCTGTAAAATAGGAGTTGGGGCTTCCTGTAGATCCTACAATGTGCAGGGGTTAGAGATTTGAATTTGGGGCTTGGAATTTGCGGTTTTGGATCTTGGTGACTGCCACGCTGCTACTGTGCGATGGAAGCGTGGGTACATATATATACCCGAGATTCAAGTATGCGACAGAGATAGGAATCGGGGTAGAAAGTCCCACAAAAATCATTTATCCTGGCCCCCGTACACTGCCACCGACAACACCCTATCAAACTAGCAGCAGCAGATGCAGCAGTTGCAGTAGCAGCAGACCAAACCGCCACCCTCTGCTTGTGCGAGAACACTGTCGTTTTCTGCCTTTTCGTCCCTTCTTCATTTTTTCTATGCATTTTGCGTAATTGAGGTTGCCAAATTTACAGATATTTCAATCACGAAAGGGTGACAACTGCCAGAACTAGCACTTATAAATCTTTGCCGCCAGAAGCGTAGATCAGATAATGAAACTAGGGCAGCTACTCACTCAAGGCTTCACCGGCACTTACAATTCTTTGGGATACCAGTTAAGGAGGCTGCTCTTGAGAGTTGAAGAGATGAGAGGTAGGGAATCACATGAACTGAGGTTCCGTGCCTTGGATGCTACAAGATCGACAAGACAGCAGTAGAAGGCGCCATCGAGATGCAACTGTCTCTAATAGACTCCGAAAAAGTTATAGGACTACGTTGCTATCTAAAGATAGCACAGTGCTCTAGGAACAGCTTCACTCCCCTCATGGCTACCGGCAGAACAACTCAGTCAAGTAGGGGACCACTACTTCGGCGAAAGTAGAAAGGTAGGGTACTTCAATGAGCGCTTAGACGTGGAGCATACGCTACTATGTGCGTTCTGAACTGCTTTCTCCTGGAAACGAATACCTTCCTTACCCCGATTTCTCCTCCCCGCTTAGGTACAGATCTATTACTCCTACAGTTAATGTGCTTGATCTGGAGCCATTTTAAGCAGAAAATTCATGTTTTGGCTTATCTTATTGGAAGAATTGGCTTTCCTGTGTACTACAAGAATAAATACGCACTTCTTGTGCAAGAAGTTACTCTGCGTGACTTTCCATGAGAGGCAGAAGTGCTCAAAGGGCTGAGCTATCTCCATTCTAAGTGCTGTTCCTTTCCTAATGCCCAGACACTGTGGGGTGAGGGCGGGCGATAGGGTAGGTGTAACGCTCCATCGAAGGCCTTCGTTTGAAGATATGCAGTTCCAGATTCAATGCAAGTTTAATTGATAGTTATGTGTGTCCCTCCAAAAGAAGTTTCTCTTTCTCCTGCCCGCATCTCGCGGGGTTCCGATATAAGCAATGATGAGTTGCGTTTAGGGTCCACTTTGATGCACCTTTTAAGCACTTCAGGCATTCGCGGCTAGTTGCACATAGCGTCAAGCGCACACTGAGAGCATTGAGTTTCACTTTGGCGAGCTGACGCTGTTCCTCAGTGAATAATACAGACAAAAAGATTTAAAAATTGGTAAATAGTCATTTTAGGTCCTTGTTGAAGACAACTGGTGCAGTAAAATGTGCCAAACAGTAGTATAACCACATAGAGTAGGGGTGTGATCGAGCACTGGCCTCGGTTTGAGTCTATGTACCCCCAACGCCGCCTCCTAGGGGGCGTGGGGGTTGTAAAAGTTTCCTGCCACAGAACCATCTACTTTTTATGAAGCCGCTGTTTGAGAAGTTGAAGTAGAGCTACTGTGTTGGACCAAGCTACACTTTGGCAATTTCTACTACATTCCTCATGTTATACTATATACTGGCAAGGATTTGAATAAATGCATTGGCTGTTTTTGTATCTTATATATTACAGAACATGGTTATTCCCGTACGATAAAAAGCAAGATATTGTGTGTAAATACGTGTGTGCTCTATACAGTACGCGCAAAAAGATAGGAATACTCGAAATGCTTAGGGAGTGCAGGAGCGCGCATACTAGGTGCCCCCCTCTCCTCTCGTGCGTTGAGCTGTGAGGGGCACGATCAGGAGAAAAAGGGGAATGAAAAAGGGAGGTTTTTTGGGAGGACATTCAATGGGTTCTCCACTTATTTGTATTGAATCTGGCGTCAAGTTTCTCCAATCTGAGACTCTAAAAGTAATACTGCAGCCCTTGTTGGTTCCAGCACCGAGCTAAATTGAGGCAGTGAATAAAGTGTTACTCTGAAGTCATCAAGCGCTTGTCATTCTCTGTGTTTATTCTTGCAGCCAACGACACAGGAGCTGCGCTCACATGCTTTTGAGACCTAGGGTGGTCTATCATTGGTGGGAGCCCCATGGGTTCGGTGTTTGTTCGCTGTGTGAATGCCCATTTTTGCGATCGCCCGAATTGTCACTTCGGTAGTCATGAGGAAAGCCACTTAAAGGGCGAGGCCTTCGTGTACTTTGTCACTATTGCAAAACAAAGTTTCATGTTCCGCAACGTGTGGATGTATTGATGAATTCGCGTGCTTAGCCTTTCTTTTTTCGCCGGAAGCTTGCTGTTAAGTTGATCTCGGCATATATTAGTTGGGGAGGGCATGTACGAAGGCTTGAGCTGTTGTAATCCCTGCTGGTGAATGCCTTCCTCTTCATCAGGAAAGCCAAGATTGAATTTATTCTGCCTTGTATATTCGACAAAAAGCCAACGTTTCTCATTATCTTGGTGACACGAAGCGAGGTACTTCTCCAACTGGCTGACGAATGATTATCATCGCCTTATTGGTACATCCATTATTGGCTGGCAAATTATGCCTTTTACCAATCGCGGAGTCACTGTGCACTCCACAGCTTGCAGGACGGCGTCTGCTGCCCCAACGATGTCGCGCCACCGTGAGCTTCCATCCAACCTACCCTGGTGCCATGGAAACCAATTTGTTGAAGCGCCAAATAAGTCAATCGAAACTGGAAAAGTTTTGTGGGATATTTAATATTCCCCCTGCATCCACGGCGAATAGTTGAGCGGGGAACCGCTGCATTGTACTACGACACAGTGCTACCAGCTACCACGCTTCATTTAATATCGACGTAGGCGGACATATAACTTCCGACTCAACACAAAATGAACAGGACGTTATTGAGAAGTGCTCGAAAAAACTGCCCCTTTTTCTTGCCGATGCCTACCCGAGTTTTCAACATCAAGGCAAAGAAACATCTGTGGTGCGCGTTGCCCGTCCCTGAAAGCACCCTAGCATCCATTGCTAGTTGTACGTGATATCTAGAGCACACGGGCGCAAAGCTGCGTCTTCTTGGATAGAGATTATTGTTATTGCGAGTAGACGAAACAGATGGTCAAATGTTTACAAAAATGCCTAGTTAGATGTAACTCGTGTAGCTGGTGTGAAGATGTGCGCACACCTTAGCACCCACAGTATAAGGGCTATTGCGTAGTGCGACTGATGCGAGACATCAAATTTAGTCTCTTACTCGATATATATAACTGATGATTTGTCATTAAAAACAACTCTGTTCTAATTTTGCCCCTTCCGCGTATGGTGAGGGGGCACCCTGGCGGTTTTGTGGGTGTGGGGAAGTGGCTCCGAGTGTACATTAAAATAACTTAGTCCTCAGAGAGGTATCGGCTGGTCAGCGGGGGCCATATAGATAGCAGCAACTGCTTTTAGGTTTAGCATCAGCGGGTGCTGTATCGATGATGGCAAATGCTTATCTGGATCAGCAGCAACTGAGGCGGCACCATCGGGCTGGCTTCGGGCCCCGCAAGGAAAGAAGTTCATGGTATTACAAGGCGCTGAAAATGATGTCAAGATCCCTGAAAGCGCCCCCAAAATGCATAAGCAAATAGTGTAATGTCAAAGTGTCTAATTTGTAACTCCAGTTTGGCTGAAAGCAGAGCGAGGACCAGGCGGCAAGCGTGGTGAAGCGGGCAGCAGTGGCTGCCATCCAGCTTCTGCTGCAGCTGCTGCAGCTGCTGCTGCAGCCGTGCTGTGCTGCGGAGGCAAGGTTACCGGCGGGAGCAGCAAGTTTTTTTTTGACAAATTTAGGCAGGATTTTCAGCTACGTGTAGCCGCAGCAGAGAATAAGGGAGAGGGAGGCTCGTATAAGAAGAAGGGGGGACGCAAGCATCCTCCTGTAACCCCAGGCTTACTCTCTGCTGTCTGGGCAGCTGGGCTGTGTTGGTGGGTTGCTACCGGTCCTTTGGGAGCCTTGCTTCTTCCTTATTTTTCTTTATTTCATACTGCTGGAGCAGCAGCACCAGCAAAGGCAGCGGTGGGGGCGTGCTATCTCTCCCGTGAGACACCACGTGCTAAGCCCCGCGGCTGCAGAGGGGCCCCTCCGTACTTCTTTTTGATACTTTTCGGCGCCTCCTCGAAAGCCTTCTTACGCCTTGTCTCTTTTATCTTTTAGGTGGGTAGCAGCGCCAGCAACGGGCTGCTCCAGATTCGATGAGCTTCAGGGGCAGCTTTGGGGTCCACCCAAGCAGCGGGCCCCCATCGAGCGGCCCCTTGGGAGGGCACGACAGCGGAGAGGGGAGATTTGTTGACGCTTGTACATGCCCGTGCTTCCTGCGGCAGTGCATGTAGTGGTGCGTTGTAGGCGCACTTACCCATGTGTGTGGTAGGGCTCTTGGGACTGTGTGTTTTTTCCGCTACAGGCATTGTCTTGTCTGCGTTGCTGCCAGTGCAGCAGTATTGTTGATATCGCCAGAACGCCACTCTATAACGTGTTTTTGCATCATAGACATACGGGGGGCGTGTATGGCCTCGTTTCGTATGATGCCCCCCGCACAAACGCGTGAAGCCACAGCCACACGGCGCTAAGGGCCCCTTCTGCAGCAGCAGCACCATGTCATCGCCACTGGATCCTCCCCCGTTCTCCCGACAACGGGGTGGAAAGTTTGCTGGGAGGTGAGTGTCGCTTCTGCTCCTCCTGTAGTCTGTCTGGGCTTTTTCCGCCTTTTCTCGATATACTGCCGTATCGGCAAAAATGCCTCCACGCTGATGGACGGCGGGTTAGCCGCTCTACCAGAATCGTCTGCACTTGCGAGGGTACTCAGGACTCAATCTGCATGCATGAATCTGTGATCTCATGCACGTATATAGATGTTGTATACATATATGTATAGATATGTATATATATATATATATATATATATATATATATATATATATATCTGCATAGGCATACCCGGAACCCATGCAAGTAACCTCGACATATACCCACAATTTAAACTGTGTCAATTTAGGGTTTTTCGTGCATTGCTTGCCATACATACGTTTTGGCGGTGCTAAAGGTCTGTGTGGAAGGCTACGTATTTGTACATATATCTCGATACAAGGCTATGCAAAGAGAGGCACGTGTTGACTCGTGTGCCTCGGTGGAACGGGGAAGCCATACTGTGATACCCTTCGTGTCGGAATCGCAAGTTCTTACGCGGAGAGTGATGTATGCATAGGGGGACTGGACGGTATCTTATACGGCCGCTTGCCGAATGTTTGACCCCTCAGTGACGGGCGTTTCCTCTTGGTGTGACGGCTAGAGAGCCCTTCAGACTCGTGGCTGTCTCCTCGTCAAGTGGTTTTTTTGTAGAAACTTGGCCTGCATGCGCCACAGCGTCTCTCTTTGCCGCCGCAGGATCCCTGCTGATCGCTAGTCCTTCCGTCTTTGTTGCGGCGTGGCTCAGGGGTCGAGGCTTTCATCACCACGGGGGCCCCTCGCGTTCAGGTGGGCCCCACAGAGCAGGAGGAGGTGGTTTGCAGCATGGACACGGGAGTCAGGGGGGGGGGGGAGGGGGCCCCCCGCTGCAGCAGCAGCAGCCGTACCCTCCCCTTTCCGGGGCGTTCGCAGGGCCTCATGGGGGCCCCGACGCGGAAAGCCTCCCGCCTCCGAATATGGGGGCCCCTGCCCATGCAGGGCCCCACCACTTGCCGAGGGGGGGAGGCCCCCAGATGCAGCAGCAGCAGCAGCAGCCGCTGCCGCCGCCTCACGTGCATGGGGGGGCCCCACATCAACAGCCCTTCGTGAGAAGCCGGGGGGCGCAGCAACAGCAGCAACAACAGCCCCAGCAGCAGCTGCCAGCGGCGGAAGGGCAGCAGCAGCAGCCTCCCATGAGCCATGCCTTCGAACATCACCATGTGCAGCAGCAGCAGCAGCAAGCAGCAGCAGCAGCAATGATGCATGGAGGCGGCCGTGTGGCCCCTGTGCTCATGGGGCCCCCCTCGGCCGGTGCGGCCAGCACGGCCCCTCCGGGGGCTGCGCTGGGTGAAGGGACGGGGGGCCCCCACCATGGGGGGGGGCCCCCGCATCGGTTCGAAGGGCCCCACCACCACGGCGAGACGCTGCAGCAGCAGCACGCGCAGCAGCAGCAGCAGTTGCTGCACGTGGCCGAGCTTCAAGAGCAGGGGGCCGAGAGAGGGGGCCCTCCGCACCCGATGCACTTGGACCCGCAGCATCCCCAACACTACGGCCGGGGGCCCCCCCCGGGAGCGATGGGGGACGCCTCAGTGCAGCAGCCACAGCATCACCACCATGTTGGAGGGCCTCACGGGGCAGCAGCAGCGGCAGCAGCAGCGGCAGCGGCTGCCGCAGGCTACCGGTACGATCCACTCTCTCTGGTTGGCTCGTACGGGGCCCCCCTGGCGATGTATCCCGCCTATGGGGCCATGTGGGGGGGGCCCCCCGGGGCTCTCCAGCAGAGGCCTCAGCAGCACCCCTTGCAGCAGGCGGGCCCCCGCAAGAAGAATGCTCTGGAGATTAGAGACCCCAAAACAGGGAGAGTAATCAACGGAGATCCTTCTCTCACAGAGCCTCAGCAGCAGCACCCACAGCCTGCTGGCAGTGCGCCAGCAGCAGCAGCAGCAGCAGCAGGAGCCCCTGGAGAGGCAACAGCGGCGCAGGCGGACTGCCAGCAGCAGCAGCACCGACACCATTCGCAAACTAGCAGCAGCACGGTGACTGGGCACGCAGATACAGCAGGCCCTCCAGCAGAGGGCCCCCAACAGCTGCAGCAGCAGCTGCAGCAGGAGGCAGCAGCAGCAGGAGGCCTTGCGCGCCGTACGAACTCGGGAGAAGCGGTGCACGTAGGACAAATGGTTAAAAGAGAGCGCAGGAAAATCCACAATGCAGCGGCTCGCAACGTGCAGCAACAGCAGCAACAGCAGCAGCAGCAACCACGACAACAGGCCGCTGCCGCTGCCGCCGCTGCTGCAGGAGATGCTGCGGCAGACTCCTCCACAGCGCCTGTGAGAACCCCCGCTCAACAGAGGGGCCCCTCAGGACCCTCAGCAGGCCGGAGAAGCAACGAGAGCACGCTTTCACAGCAGCAGCAGCAGCAGCAGCAGCATGAATGCGCTGGCGAGGTGGTCAGTGCAGAGGGTGCTCCCCTGGTTGCAGCGGGAGGGCCCCTAGATCCACAGCAGCAGCAGGGCCCCCAACCGGGCATGATGCGGCCTTTAGCGGACTGCGGGGGGGCCCCCAGGCCCTTCATGGAGGCGGGGCCCCCTCCGCCCCTGGGGATTGAGATGCATGGGGCCCCTCATGGGTACGGACGCATGATGCATCAGGGCCCCCTTGGCGGGCCAGCCCCTTCGTCTCCCTACGGCCCCCCCTTCCCTCCAGCAGCGCAGCAGCAGCAGCAGCAGCAGCAGCAGCAGCAGCAGCAGCAGCAGCAGCAGCACCGGGGGTCGCAGCACCCTCCCCACCAGCCGCCCCCCCAGCAGTTTGTAACTGCGGGAGAAGCCGCTGCAGCGGCACTCCAGGGGGGGGGGCCCCCCTCCGGCCGGGGCCCCCGGGGAGAGCGCACGCGGCAAAGGAAGGCGGACCGCCAAGCCAGCGCGCGGCAGCAGCAGCAGCATCACCAGCAGCAGCATCACCAGCAGCAGCAGCACGGGGGGGCGGCGGGTGTAGGCGAATTGCCGCAGCAGCAGCAGCAGCACCCCATGAACGGTGCCGACACTGCTGCGGCGGGGCTGCAGCCGCAACAGCAACAGCAGCAGCAACACCCCCAAATGATGGAGGGTGCAGCAGCTGCTCCTCAGCAGCAGCGGCCTGTGCTGCAACAGCAGCAGCGCGAGATGATGCCTGGCAGTCTTATCCAGCCTCCGCAGATGCTGGGGGCCCTGCCTCCGCATGCCCTGTTGCCGCTAGGCATGCAGCAGCCAGCGTACCCCTTTCTGTTGCCTGGAGGAGACATGAGGGGCCCCCAGCAGCTGCCCCACTCGGCAGCTTCGGCAGCGGGGGGGGCCCCTCAGCAGATGCAGGCCTTTGGGGCCGGGGCGCGTCCAGGGGCGGGGGGGCCCCTGCACCCGAACCAAGCAGCAGCAGCAGCAGCAGCAGGTGCAGCAGCAGCAGCAGCGATTCCGGTGTATGGCCTCATGGGCAGCCACCTGCTTCCCTACGGAGCTCGGCTGCCGCTGCCACACTGTGGAGACATTCCCTTGGTCATGCAAGCCTCCGTTCCTCCTCCTCTGCTGCATGTCATGCAGCAGCAGCAGCAGCAGCAGCAAGCGCCACTCACCGGGGGAGGGGCCCCCCCTCCACCCCTGCACGTGGGCTCGACTGCAAGCCCTCCTGCTGCAGCAGACGCCTCCCGGCAGCAGCAGCAGCAACATCCGAGAGGTGAAGGTGCCCTGCAGCAGCAGCAGCAATTGAGGATGCAGCAGCAGCAGCAGATGGGGGGGGGGCGTCTTTTCTCCAGACCTGTTGCAGAGATCGTCGGCACACCTGCTGCTGCAGGGGAAGCATCGCGGAGCAACCCGCTTGCGGAGGGGCCCTCCCTGCCTTTGGCTGCAAATCCAACAGCAGCAGCAGCAGCAGCAGCAGACCGCTCTGCCGCTGCCGTGTCCATTCGTCGTCAAGTGTCTCCTGCCGCAGCAAGCGTAGGAGCAGCAGCAGCAGCAGCGCAGCAGCAGCAGCAACAAGATAGGCGAGCCAGGAAGAAGGTGCAAAACATCGCCGTGGAGAGGGGAGCGAAGCGAGATTCTGCAGACAGAGCAGATGAGCAGCAACAAATGCAACAACAAGTACAACAACAAGTACAACAGCCACACGTGCAGCAGCAAGCTGTAGGTTCTGCAGACACGTTTACGTCGGATCTGCAGCCAGCAGCGCCTCCCCCCCCTTCGACTCCGGCAGAGCCTCATCACCAGCCGCATAAGGCTTCAATAAGGACCCCAACGTCGAGCGTCAGCAGGAGAGCTTCGTCTGCGGCTGCCTCGGACGGTTCTGCTGCAGCTGCTTCTGCTGAAAATGCAGAAAGAGGCGTTCCTGAGCACCCCCACCAGCAACGGAAGCTGTCGCGAAGAGACCGTCAGCCTGACGCAAATGCTGCAGATGATGTTGCCGTTCAAGAGCCGCTGCATGCGAGCGCAGCGACCCCCAAGAAGCTGTCTGCCGCAGCAACATGCGAGACTCGCAGCCTTCTGGCTGTAGACTCCGGCTCCGCAACGCCTACGCCTGTTGCCACGAGCAGCAGACGAGCGTCTCGCGTCAGCAGTCCTCGCCGTGGAAGGAGCCCAAGAGAGAACCTCCATGTGCAGCAGCAGCATGTGCAGCAGCAGCATGTGCAGCAACAGCAGCCACAGCAGCAACAGAAACAGCAGCAGCAACAGCCACAGAAACAGCAGCAGCAACAACAGCCACAGCAGCAACAGAAACAGCAGCGAGTAGTCGCCAAGTTGGAAGTAAATTCTGCGGTAGCTGAAGCTCAGCAGCAGCAAAAAGCGGAGAGTCACGGTCCCTCAGCAGCCACAGGGCGCTCCCCTTCGACTGCGGGACGGAAGACAGCTGTGCATAGGGAGGCTGCGACTGCACAAGACACGCCGCAGTCTGCTCCCCCTACCGCCTCGTCTCACGCATCGAAGGGGTCTGGCAGCCTTTTGCCCGTGCAGCAGCAGGGGGCAGCAGGAGCTGCAGTGCCAGCAGCAGCTGCCGAGTCTGCTGCACCTACTATTACCGTTCGCCAGCTCAACAAGACAGCGCCATGTGCGGCAGAGACTTCGCCAGAAGAGGCTGTAGCTACAGATGCTTCTCCACTTCCAGCAACTGCTGCAACTGCAGCTGCAGCTGGTATCCCTCCCCTTCCAGCAACTGCAACTGCAACTGCAACAACTGCAACAACTGCAGCAGCAGCAGCAGCAGCAGCAGCAGCTGGTGTCCCTCCCCTTCCAGCAGCAACAGCAGCAACTGCAGCAACAGCAGCAACTGCAGCAACAGCAGCAACTGCAGCAACTGCAGCAACTGCAGCAGGCATCCCTACACCTGTAGCAGCAGCTGCAGCCACCCCCGTCCGACGTGCCCTTTCTCCTGTCGAAATTCGCGGTGCAAGTGCTGTGGCGACAGCGTCCAAGACGGGAGCAGCAGGAGCAGCAGCAGGAGCAGCAGCAGCAGCAGCAGCAGGAGCAGCAGCAGCACCGGGTACCTTTACCGTAAGGGAGTTGGTGGGGTTGTACCGTGTGTTGAAGCCTCACATAACGACTCCAGAGTGGGGATTCTTCCGCTGCGGAGATTTAGACGAGATGCGGAGGCAAAACGCGGGGGGAGCCGCTGGCAACAGTCTTAGCAGCAGTGGCGTGGGCAGTGGCAGTGGTGCGAGTGGCAGCAGTGGCAGTGGGGTGAGCAGCAGCAGCAGCAGCAGTGGCGTGAGTAGCAGCTCTGCTGGCGGATTAGGCAGCTTAAGGGATTGGCAAAGGCGTCAGGGCCCCACTGCTAGCAACATGAATAACGGCTTGGGGTCAGGTGTCTTTGGAGCAGCAAGGAGACAAGGGCCCTGTGCAGTCAACACCCCTGCTGGTGGAGGCGGAACAAACAGCACAAATACCAGCGCCTTCAGATCCTCGAAAACTCCCGGAGATACCGATGCAGGGGCAGGAGATGGACGGCTTAGCGCTGCTGGAGGCTCTGCTGCAAATAACCCCTTGCTGTGGAGAGGAGGAGTAAGATAAGAGGACCCTCTCTCTCTTCCCGCCCGCCTTGTGTGCTTCTTTGTTTGTTAGTCTATTTGTTTGCTTGTCTCTCTCTGTTTGTTTTTCTGTCTCTGTTTGTTTTTCTGTCTCTGTTTGTCTCTGTTTGTTTGTCTTTCTGTCTCTGTTTGTCTCTGTTTGTTTGTTTTTCTGTCTCTGTTTGTCTCTGTTTGTTTGTCTTTCTGTCTCTCTTTGTTTGTCTTTCTCTGTTTGTTTGTCTTTCTCTGTTTGTTTGTCTTTCTCTGTTTGTTTGTTTTTCTGTCTCTCTTTGTTTGTCTCTCTTGTCGCTGTGCTCCTCTTACTGGGGCCACCCATGTCTGGCGCGTTTCCCACCTGTTAATATTAATCTGGGCGTATGCAAAACCTTCGTGCATGATTTTGTCGCACCTTCTTAAAGTGTTTTCGCCTTCTGGTCTGTCCCCCTACGTCGTTTCCTCCCTTCTTCTCCCTTCCCCCGAGACTCACATGTATGGTGGTCTGTGTAGGTCTCTGTGTCTCTGTGTCTGTCTGTCTGTCTGTCCACTGACGGAGTACACGCGACTTGGGCGTTGCCTCTTCTGTCTCTCCTCATGCTTTTCTGTCGGCTTGTTTTAAATCGCGCTCCTGATGCAATATCCTTGGGGGTATGTGTGTCTCTCTTATGGCGCAGTCTGGAGCCACAGGAGGCCCTAGGGGCCCTCTTTCCGTTGGCAGGGGTCCTCCCACCGACGGCTATGCGAAACTCAGTGGCTTCTTTGGCAATCGCCCTCCTCCACCCTCTCGCGAGCCTGCGGTAAATAGAGAATGTTGTGCTGCTCTTGCTGCTCTTGCTGCTCTTGCTGCTCTTGCTGCTCTTGCTGCTCTCTCCCTCTCAGGCCGCCTTAGGGTGCTGGGCTGCGCTGCAGCACAGCACCGCTGTTGGCTGCCGCTGATTGTAAGGCCCTGCCCCTCTAATGTGTCTCCTGCTGCTTCACTTCATGTGTGTATGTACGTGTGTGTTTGTATGTGTGCGTTTATCCGTTTGCGCAGCCCGCAATGCGCATGCCTGCTGCGTCGACGTTCCGAGTCAACAGAGACTTCAATCCACGCGAGAGGAAGCGCAGAACTCTGAACGCTCTGCTCAACAAGCTGACGATTGACAATTTTGGTGTTGTTTGCGAGAAGATTTGCATAGAGGAAGAGCAGTTCGAGTCCTTAGAGGACCTGCAGCTACTTGCAGATCTCCTTTTCAACAAGGTACGAAGAAGCGCAGTGCGCTTCCCAGTCGCATCGCTCCCAGTGCCTCCCTCCCCGCGTCTTTTTTTCCGTGGCTGCTTTTTCACGCCTTCTTGTGACGGGGCAGTCGTCCCACAGACGTGTCGCTTGCGGCACTTTCCCAGCTTCTGCCGGTGCTTCTCGCTGCCTCTCTCTGTGCAGGCAGTGTCTGAACCCGAATACAGCGAAATGTATGCGGATCTCTACCAAATCCTCCGCTGGAGGAGCCCTGAGTTCGCTCTTCCCGGAGAAGAGAGACGCGTCAACTTCCACAGGACCTTCGTCAATCGATGCCAAGACGAGTTCGAGAAGTAAGAACACAAGGGCGCCGAGCTTTTTTTCAATTAAAAAAAAACGACGCAGCGTAGCTAAAGTACTTCTCTCCAGATGGCTGCGTGCTCCTCCTTATAGCCCTCTCCCCTTTAGAGCAGGAACAGGCCGTTTTTCATACGGCGAGGCAGGGTTCGAGGTGGATTCGCTTGCTGTGCAGCGCCTACTTTTTACCACTCTCCCCCCTCCTCCTCCCGCGTCTCTTGCCTGCGTGTCTTCCCTTCAGGCTGCAAGGCGAAAATGTGCTTGTCATCACCGAGGAGGAACGTGCCGAGTGCGTGGACACCGACGATGAAGCAAAACTTCTTAAGAAGAAAAAAACTCGCGTTTTGGGGAATATGCGCTTTATCGGAGAACTCTTCCTCCGTCGGGCACTCAGTCCCAAGGTGCTCAATGACGTTGTTCATTCACTCGTATTCAGCAGCAAGGGAGACAGCTTCCCGGATGAGCACTTTATTGAGTGCCTCACGGAGCTCCTTACGACCATCGGTAACTTCAACGCGCAACACGAACGTTGACCTCTCTTCCAGCAATCCTCTGGCCCCTTTGCTCTTTTGGGAAGCTTTCGAAACTGACGTTTCAATTCCCTTGCCCTTTTCACGTCCAGCGGGTGTGTATGTATGTTTGTCTGTATGTGTATGTATGTGTATGTACGTGTGTATATGTGTATGTATGTGTGTGTATGTATGTGTATGTGTATGTATGTGTATGTGTATGCATGTGTATGTGTATGTATGTATGTATGTGTATGTATGTATGTATGTTTATGTATGTGTATGTGTATGTATGTATGTATGTGCATGTATGAGTGTGTGTATTTATGTATGTATGTATGTGCATGTATGGGTGTATTCGTCTGTATGTGTGTGTATACGTGAAGGTTACACGATGGACCTACAGGACTCATCTAGGGGGATGATGAACGAATTCATTGGGAAGCTGCAGGAATTGCAGCTACGCGCAGGATACTGCAGCAGGATTACTTTTAAGATTCAGGATCTGCTGGATTTGCGCCAGCGTCACTGGACGAAGAAGGTCTTTAGGGATGTTGCGAAGTCTGTTGCCGAGATTAGAGAAGACGTAAGCGGAGGCAATGAGGGGCTTGAATTCGGGTGTTTTTTGCACACTTCTGCGGATGCACTGCTGAAAGTTAATTATGGGCCTGTGCCGTCTGCTTACACCTGCGCAAAGAGAGCTCGCCACGCAACGGTGTCGTGCTGCTGCTGCTGTTGTGTTGCGGCTGCGCTGTGGCGCTTTTGCATGCAGGCAAAGCGGGATGAGTTGATGGGAGGCGCCATCAAGGTGGCCCAGGAGGGAGTGTTTCTTACGGTGGGGTTGCGGCGCGAGATGCCCTATAAGGGCTACTTAGATGAGCAGCGGAAGCTGTTGGATTCACGGCGTGCTGTAGCGGCAGCGGGAGATGCGGCAGCAGGCAAGACGGCGGCAGCCAGCAAAAGCATTGCGACAACAAAAACTGTCGTAAACAGCGGCAGCAGCAGCACCCCGCGGCCCTTTACGAGCGGAGTCGGTGCTTACAGTCCAGGGGTTGGTGTGGGGGTGACAGCGGGAGGAGCTCCACTTGCTGCTGCGTCGACAGCGGGAGCTGCCGAGGCAGCAGCTGGCACTCCTGGCAGTAGTGGCGTTGCCTGTGCCTTGGATGCCTCGTTGCCTCCAAGCGAAATCCCGGCGCTTAAAACGGAAGTTGATCTTCTTGTGTTTGAATTTGTTCTAGAAGAGGCCCCCATCGAGTAAGTGTGCAGGCAGCCGAGGGTGACGGGGGCAGCACGGAAGGGGCGTGCGGCTGAGCCGCTTGTCTTTCCCTGTGCTCGTCTTTCTTGCGGTGCAGCGAAGGGCTCTGCAGCGGGTGTCTTCTTCCCGCTTTCCTCTTTGGTGGTGGGGTTGTTGTTTGTCGCTCAGAACGGCCTTCTGCGCATGTGTGTATCGCATTCTGCTCAGGGCTTCTGTTGCCGAGTGGCGCTCCCTGCGCTTGCCGGTACAGCAGAGCGCTGGGCAGCTTGCCGCTGTCTTCACGAAAGCTCTAAACGAGTCGAGAGCCAGCAAGGCTGCTCGATACGGCACGCTGCTCGGTCGCCTCGCTGCAGAGCACCTCAAGTTGACAGGGGACGTGACAGTCCTCATGAGCTAGTGAGCGCGAGTTTTTCTCCGCCATGCTGGTGCTTCCGATCCTGTTGCTGCGATTGCCGAACTTGAGCTTTCACGCGCTCTGTGTGCATGCAACCAAGACCGAATCGCAGTCAGAGCGACAGACACGCCCGTTTTTTGCCCTTGGTGCGGCTAATGCTTCATGGGGGTGGCAAGAGCGCGCCTCCACGTGTGCAGCGTTTCTCTGGCTTGGGAGTGTTCGTGGCTGGTGTGTTGCAGCATAAGGGCACTAGTTATTTCGCAAGTTGCAGACTTGGCCGTCGATAACCCAAGGGCCCCGCAAATATGCAGCGGGGCTTTCGGGGGCCTCCTCTGCTCAGAGGCATGGGGCCCCCAGGCGGAGCAGCAGATCACCAGAAAAGGCGTGCTGCTGCCAGTGCCAGAATCCGAAGCTCTTGCAGTCCAGGTTAGGCGACATGCGGCGTGCTTTAGGGCTCTTTCGGTGCCTTTTTCGAAGGGGGAGGCAAGGAGGGGTGATGTGTGGCCTCGAGGAATGGGTGGGGAGCGAAGCGAGTCGCTTCACGCCAACAGAGGGAGGTTTATACTGGGGCGGAAGCACCCTTCAGGGCACATAGAGAACGGCGAAGCGTATTGTGCTGCTCAAAAAGTCTTGGCTTGGCTCAACCCTCGCATGCTCGGACTCCATTATGCTGCTTTTGCGTGTTTTTGCTGGAACCTCAGATTTGTAAGGGTATCCTCACTCTGGTCAAAAGTCAAACTCCCGATCGAGTTACCCGCGTGCGGAGTCTTTTAGAGGCGACGCTTGTTGCTTCCATCCCGAACTGCACTGCAGCAGCGGCAGCAAGCATGCTTTAGGAATGCGTCATTCAACAAACGACCCTGTTTGGGGGGGAGGAGGGGGGGACAGGCTGACAAATTTTAACGCCAACTTGTGACTGTATACAATAACAGACGGTGTTCATCACCTCCGCGGCGTCTCTCGATCGCCTCTGTTTAGATTCCCGTCTTACTAGGGCCCCTGAGTCAGAGGCCGCCTCCCTGTCGACCGGCTGGGGAGCTGCTATCATTTGTTTCCTCATAAGAGGGCTGCGTGCATCGGATGCAGACATTTATGAGCAGCAACTGCTGCTGCCACAGTGCGCGCTGCTGCAAAACACGTGTAGTTACAGCAGCAGGAGCAAGGGCTTTTGCCTTAGCACGATTGGCGACTGCCGCTGTACAAGCCCTCAGAGCAAACAATATGCCTGGTGAATGCTTGAGCTTCCCCTAAATGGCTTTGTTTCTTGAAGGACGCATGCATGGCAATGGATCTCGCATGGGACCCCGGGATAATAATTAGGAAGCAGTTGGTAGATGGCGCAGCCTCCTCCTTAGTTCCTATTACGATCACCTGGTCGTACTAACGCTAGAACTGCTGGTGCCGCCCCTGTTACAACCTGCGAGCGTAGCAGTTCAGCTGTGCGCCTGCAAGCACCCTATCCTCACACATGCTTTCAGAGGGAGGGAAGCTGCTAGTCCGTGATGCACACTCAATCAGGCTCGCCATTCCTGAGTGCGCTTTACCGTCAGTGACATGCATGCATGCTGCGTGCACATGCGAGGCCAGGGGGCAGCCTCTATCAGGCATACTTAGGTGTTTTTAACAGGATAGGCTTCAGGGCACCCGTGCAGATCTGAAGGGCAGGGTGGTCGATACATCATACATATATTATTCGGTATGGCGTGTTCATGCCAGTACCGTAAGGCTGTGCTGCACAGGCTTCGACAGTGCCTCCTGGAAGGCTCTGCACAGGCCGTCAGGTGTAGCCCTCTTTCGCACGTGGACGAGAAAGTTCTCGCGGCCGAAGCTGTCGAGGCTGTTGCAGTGGATTCTCAAGGCAAGCTACAGGCCCACGTGTTTACAGGGCTCAATTGAAGATGAGTTTCCCCAGGCAAAGACGTTGTTGAGGGGCGGGCACGTTGTCGGGAGATCTTTCATAGAAATTCCGCTAGGAAGGCATCAAGAGCTCTCTTCGTAAAGAGGCCGCTTCTGATGCGGCGCTGTGGTTATAGCATATCTGGATATTCTCTAGCTGCACTAGTCCAGAAACAACTACACGGGTCGACTCTAGCGCGAGGAGGGAGAGCCTGAATGCAGGCCTATGTCTCCCCCGGGCTGCACTAAGACCTCTATATAGGACGATTTGCCCATTGAGGCGTCTGTGCACCCCAGCAAGCGTACCATGCTGGTTACAGTGCTTAGGCACCCCCTTCAGGAGCATCAGGTGTGTAATCATTGTAAAGAACAGTCCATCGCTGAAAAGGTGGCTCGAAACGCGTGCAGGTGGGACTGAAGATCGAATGTGTAAGTTCAGTACACTTTGAAAGTGCCGCCCTACTCGCCTATAGACGCCCTGTTGGGGAAGAGGGGGCTCATGCGCCAAACAGACCCCTTTGGGGCCTCCTAAATCTGTCAAGGTCCTTCCTACGAGGCAATATCCTGCGTTGTTGTCAGGGTAGTTGCATTTGCCCCATCACCCTGTGAAGCCTGCTCGTTTTGTCCAGTGCTTCCCTTAGTGACTGAAGCGCCTGTAACGCCACACAGAACAAAAGGAAAGCAGGCCAGTAAGCAGAATAGCATAAGCACCAAGTACACAGCAAATAGAAACACTACCTGCCACTTCAGCTTTGCCCCGTACGTGTAGCCACGGTGAGTCTTTTGCGATATATACGCACATATATATATACATATATGTATGTGTACATCGCAAAAGACCTCAAAAGCATTAGCAGTGGCAGTAGGAGCAGCACTTCTACTGGCACAAGCAAGCGTTTTGCAGTGATTGTATGCGCACCATCATTGGTTGGCTGTTGCGAGACGAGAGTGGCCAGAGCAAGGCCCCTGAAGGGAGACTCGAGAGTCTCTGAGGCGGAAGGATTTAGAATGAGGATAGGCCGATCCCCTGCGAAAGGATCCTCTTGTTCAGCTGAGGCTCCTACGTCCCCCCCGAAGGTGGCTCGACCATTTGGCAGCAAGGGTGTGGCCGCATACATCGGCAGGATGGAATGCGGCTCGCTTGACTGACAAAGGCACAAAGCATACAAAGCTCGAGAGCTGCGGCGGTGAGAGAACTTGGCAAGAGGGACAGGAACGGATGGCTACACAAGGCGACACAGCGCAGATACGGGGGTCGATGAGGGCAGGACGAGAGACAGAAATGGAAGAGCAAAGCAGTGCATAGAAGAACTGACAGACAGGTGGTGTATTCTCTGCTCCTATACATATATATTGTACAAAAGTGCCAGCCTTCTGCAGGAGATGAACGCGTCACACGCTGTAAGGCCCCTCGCATGATCAGTCAGCAACCAGCAGCAAGAAAGGCAGTCAGTCGGCAGCAGGAATCCTGTCAGTGATGGTGCCACGTTTCTTGGAAGCCTGTCGATTGGAGCGCCTCAAGTGAGGTCACACTTAGAGCGACTACTTATAGACCAGAAGGCGTGGTCTACCAAGCAGTACGAGCACACCTGGAGGAGCGTAAAGTATGCAATGCCCCTTCTGGGTCTGAAGGTGATCGCTAGAGCCGTCCAGAAAAGGAATTCCAGCAGCATAGCGGTGACTGTCTCCAAGTCTGGTCGATCAAGGACCACCAAGAAGAACAGCGTACAGGCAGCGGAGAGGGAGAAGAAGAGGAGGCAAGAGAAATAATGGACCCTAAACATCCATTCCTTCAGCCTCAAAGCATCCACAAACTCTGGTAATCCAGCGCCTTGCACATATTCAAGACGCAACTGCGGATATGCACAAATATGCACACCAACAGCAAAAAAATACCACCTCGATATCAACGTGTTTCTCTCTTCTATTCTTATCGGTACAGCCCTGCGCAGACGTATCCCTCCTTCTATTGCAGCACGTCGCTGCTCTCGCCCTCTGAAGTCCGTCTTTTGCATTACACGCTGACTCCTCTCCTTGCATGCCTCCCCAAGTATGTCTCTCTAGCCCTTCCCCTAATTCTGTTTCGCATCAGGTGCTACCCTCTTATCTCCTTCATTCCAACGTGTGCATCAGCACCTGGCTCTTATAGGGGCCCCTCGCTATCATCGAGATGCTCCTTCATCTCGAGAAAACTCACCCTGACCTGCCGAATACTGCGAGAGCAAGAGGGCAGCACTACGCAGAGCGTCGCGATGTACAGGCATAGGCGAGCAGGAAGGCCCTCCGAAGGCTCTACCTGGCTTGTGCTGCTCACCACGTACACGGTGCTTATCTGCAGCCACAAAAACAGCAGCAGCAATGCACTTTTCTGCAAGAACATACCCCTTTCCCCGACTTCCTCAGAAAGGAACAACTGGAGAATATAATCGTTGCATCGAGGGATGGAAGCAAGGAGGCTGGAAAGCAGCTCAGCTAGTCGGGAAACGTCAACTGCTCTATCCGAAATTGCATGAAGTGCATCAACCAGAAGGGAATTCTAAGTGTAGGCTTCAGACTGACAAGCAGAGTGGTGGTGAAGCTCTCGCCCCTTCCGAACGTCTCTCTGGTGAGGAGGTAACCCTTGCTGATCAGAAGGAGGGATGCAAAGAAGAAGGTCTGAAACAGCGTCTCAAGGCTCATGACGGCCATAACCAGGTACTCCACTGCGGGAGCATTCCACGTCGGGCACTGCAAGTAGTACGCAACCTGCACTGCAGTAGTGGCAGCCTTTAGCAGGGGAGGCAGCATTAGGAGCCAGTGCAGCGGAGTGCTGTCTCTCCCGTTGTCTCTTCTGCACTCGGCATGCCACAGAAACGCAAGGGCCCCCCAGAGAGGCAGTGCAACCAAGGAAGCGAGCAGTGCCAGCCACTGTGCGGCACAGTCTGCTTCCTCAGGAATGGCTGAGTCCACAAGGACAAATAACGGCTCGTCCGCTGCTGCTCCAGCTGCTGCCTGCCTCTTCATTTGCTGCAGCAGGGGGGAGTCAGGTAAGGAGGCGACGGGCATGAGGGGCTTCGGGGCAAACACATTCCCTAGTAGGGGCAAGGAGTAGTCTTTGAAGGTGGTATCTGTTAGGAGCAGCGCGGAGGCTCCAGAGGCATTTGCAGCCTTGATGAGCCCCAACAGTTCCTCTTCTGTGCAGCTATCAAACAGCCAAATCCGCTTACGACTGAGGGGCACCCTGCGCAGCCCATTAAGCAGGAGTGCTCCTTCGGCTCCACGCAGATGAGCGGCCCACGTAGCCTCCGTTGCTTCGGCTGGTTCTTCCCCTGTGCCCGCTAGGGCTGACGGCTGATGCTGCGGCTGTTTTTTTTCAGGAGACGCGTTTTTTCCGGATGCAGAATCGCTGCGAGGAGACGACTTTAAGGATTCCCCCGGACTAAGGCCCTGCGACCAGTCCCGAAGCTCTTCGTTCCACAGAGCAAAACTCAAGGGTAAAATGTAGCTAAGAGAGGCTTTTCTGCGAGCATACGTGTGGGAAAAGGCCCACCTCCAGCTGTCGCCCCGTGTTGGCTCGCCTGCTAGGGCAATGCCTCCTGAGAAGAGGGCGGGATCGCTTGGTTGAGCGTTTCTTGCGCCAGATAAGAGGGATTCCTCAGCAGGCTCCAGCCTGCGCGCTAGCCATGTGGAGGGCAGCTGTTGCGTGAGCCACCCCAAGGCCCTTTGGAGGGACAAGCGAAGAAGCTGGGGTCGAAAGTCGAGGGATGGGAAAGAGAGCACCTCAGGTGCATCTGCGCTGCAGTTGCTCCCTTTGTAGAGCAGCTGTCCGACAACGCGACCAACGGGGGGCCCCCAAGGGGCAAACGTCGCGTCCACAGAGGCAGAACTTCTTGCCAAAAGGGCCCCTCCATAGGGGGACAGGAAGGCCACACGCCCAGCCGCAGGAACCACACACGTAAAGAGGCCTAGTACCAGAAGCAGGGAAAGAAGCATAAGCCTGCTTAGGGGACCTGCATGGCAGTGATCGGGGGGCCCCTGCTGTTGTAGGGCCTTGCTGGGGGCCCTCTGCTGCAGCGAAACGGCAACTGCAAAGGCCACAGACGTTCGTGTTGCCATTTCAAATGCTGCAGACAGGCGATCCGTCCGGGTCAGACATGGGTCAAGGCGCTACTGCAACAGAAGCCCGCAGCAAGCGTATAATCCGCAAAGCATCACTGTAGCTGCCGCAGTGGAACGCCTGTACCCGTGAAGCAGAGCAGCGGCAGTCTCCTTAGGGACAGATGAGCGACATGTACGTATTTGTCCCTATTCAGGCGACGCAAAACTCCAGAAGGAGCCGGGAGGGAGAGGCAACACACGAGACCGCTGGTGCTCCACGCACAGCATCCAAGGGACCATCATCTGAGGGCCTTGTGAGTCTTCGGAGCATTTCGAGACATAAAGCACCAGGGAAAGCTGGATGAGTGCCTCAAACATACCAAACGATCCCAATAGACCCACGCGATTGTCAGGCAGGGGGCCCCCAGCCTCATTGCAGCACCGCTGCCGCCTCGTAGAACAGTTTGGTAACGGGAGCTGATATAGCGGCGTGCGTGCGCATTCTTTTTTTGTTGCTCTCCAACTCTTGATGAGCTTTCTTATTGAATTGAGGCTGGATTCACGCCAGAGATTCTTTCTCTGATCGCTATATCGGGAGTTGAGCTGCAGCCGTCTTCGGCTGCGGTCCCAGCAGCGAGCGATGCCCGCAATCCGGAGGTGCAGCCAGTGCGTTTCGCAAAGGTTTGTCTGGTTCCACTATGGTCCATTAGAATTGTTAAACACGTCTGAGTGGCAGTTTGCACGGAAGGAGGCTACGCGAAGGTGGCTCCTAGTGGACACGGGGGGTCCCCTACAGCCAAGAGTACACTCGAGACTGCAGCGCGCGAGAAATACACAGCTATGGGGCCTCTGAACGCCTTGGGCATCCAAAGGGTACTCAGTAACTACAGCCAGAGCACCCGACGCAGGGTCTTCGCAAGAACAGAAGGAGAAACCGGACGGTGGAGGCCGAGTAACAAACAATACAGCTGTGCCTGATAGCTCCACTGGCCTACAGGGCGAGGCTGCACAGGCAGAAGAAGTCTCCGCGTACTCGCCCTAATGCCTGCCCGCTGTCGCTCTCCATGGAGAGCGACAGCGGGCGGCGCGGTGGCACGACAGGGGGAGACCATCACTGCCCTCAAGGTCGAGCAGTGCGGATCTTTAGAGGAGGGAAAGCCCTCCTTCAACACCCCTGGCTAGTACAGAGCTACACGGGATTCTTCACCACCTACGATAGACCAAATGCCATAGGGGGCAAGCGCACACAAGACATGCAACCGGGCTGGTTCTAGCCGTGGCACCTTGCGCCGTCTGGAACTCTTCCAAGAAGCCCGGTCGCATACAGTAGTGCAAGCGTCACGTAGAGTCTCAGCACCCTTTGTTGCCTCTGGTAGCAGCGCTCATAAATGCTACGGCAGCGGATTCCCCCAGAGACCACAAAAGTGTAAAAGAAGCAAAGGGGGGAAGAAGCATGCGGGAGACAAACATGAATGAAGCAGCGCAACGCACACGAGGGTCTCATGCTTTCCTGCTGCTGTTTCAACGACAGCAACTTCAGCAGCAGGCAGATCGCATTCTGCAGCAGCATAGCGGCACGCGCCGTTGTTACGAGTGGCAGCAAGACCGAATTGTGCTGCCGTATGCTACGCGTAGCTGGTAAGCAGGGGCTGCGATGCTGTATCCGTTCTTTCTTAGCCATCACTAGCCCACACGAAATCTGCATCGCGGCACCAGCCAGTGCTCCTGGCGCACACCAGCAGCGATACATGTTGCTGCAAAAAGAGCACTTTTGCAAGAGACGAGGGAGTCAATTGTTGCTGCAGTTGGCGAAGCTGCTATAGTTGAGCGGCGGTAGCAGTCGCGCTGGCTTTGGTCTGGGCAACAAAAAGCACCATATTTTATCTTGATAACGCATCTGCTATTGTCCATGCTGCTGGTGCTGCTGCTCGTGCTGGTGCTGCTGCTCATCTCTGGAATTCTCCGTTTGCGCAGCCGGTAGGACGGCTTATCAAATGCGCCAGGGCTATGCGATCGCTGTGGCAAATATATCCTGCGAGCTGCTGGCTGTCAGGATACCTTCTGCAACTGTAACAGCTGTTGTGAGACATCCAGCGGGGGGACAGTTTATGCTGCTAGGGCTGCTGAGTAGTTGGTAGTGGTACCTGCTGTTCCTGTGGTGGCGGGGGTGGTGACTGTGGTAGTGGTTTCTGCTGTTGCTGCGCAGGTGGAGGGGGTGGCTGTGGCGGTACCTGCTGCTGCTGCTGTGGCGGTGGTGGGGGTGGTGCGTTTTGCTGCTGTTGTTGCTACTGGGCGGGTCGGGGGAGCTGATGTGGCAGCTGCATCGGCAGGGGTTGCTGTTGTTGCTGAGCCTTGGACAGGGGAATCTGTGGCTGCTGGGGACGTGTTGGGATGGTGTGCTGTTTCTTGTTGTCGGAGGCCGTTGGTGCGTTACATTGGTGTTGCTGCTGTGGGATGTGTGGTGGCGGCTGTCGTTGGCTTGGGTTCATTGCTTGCTGTGGTTGCGGTGGGGGTTATGCTGTGTGTCGTGGCAGCGCCTCTTTCGCTTCCTTCTTGTTCTTCCCTCTTTTCCTTTTTCTTCCCCTGTTTTTTCGTTTTCTTTTT